ACAGCACTCGCTGGACTTTCGGTTCTGGCAAACCCCAACCCTCTATCCCAGCTAATGTGCAACTTTGCACAGCTCTCATACGTCTTGACTCAGAAACAAACCTGTTGCTGCTGCAATAAAAGAGGGGGTCCATAAAAAGAACCTAATTGGAAAGGCGCCGACATCCTCCGCTATACGACACATTGCAGTCGAGAGACTCGAGAAGCGAGTCCTTTTGGCCGTCCTTTTTGAGGAAGTGGCAGCTCGTGGAGCCGCGTGTAGGCACGCCATCGCCAAACAGATTGCATCACATGCTGTCCCAGGGCATGGAGAAGTAGCGACTGGAAGCTCTACTAAAACACAGCTTCTGGACTGTGTTACAAATCGATCTTCTGCTTGAGCAAAAAGTTCGACCTTTTAATCGGGGCCGCTTGCTGCCAAACCATTCGAGAGGTGGCCCCCTCAAGTTTCTTCTTCACTTCCACGTGGTCTAAACCCGAGCTCGGACAAAAGCAGACAAGGGTCGGCGGCACAGGGCGGCAGCCCTTAAATAAAAAAGATAAGGACGATGACGAAGAAGATGATGATGATGAGCACCGTGATGATGATGATGATGATGATGATGATGAACGGACATGATAATCATCATGACGCATCCTCAGCATCACCAGCAGTCATCATGATAATCATGTCCACGCATCTTCTGCATCTCAAATCGGGTCTAACGGGACACTTGAAACGTATATAAAAAAGATAAGGACGATGACGAAGAAGATGATGATGATGAACACCAACTGACATGATAACATCCTCAGCATCACCAGCAGTCATCATGATAATCATGTCCACGCATTTCTGCATCTCAAATCGGGTCTAACGGGACACTTGAAACGTAGATAAAAAAAGATAAGGACGATGACGAAGAGGATGATGATGATAAGTGATGATGATGATGATGATGATGATGATGATGACTGACATGATAATCATCATGACGCATCCTCAGCATCACCAGCAGTCATCATGATAATCATGTCCGCGCATCTTCTGCATCTCGAATCGGGTCTAACGGGACACTTGAAACGTATATAAAAAAGATAAGGACGATGACGAAGAAGCTGATGATGATGAGCACCGTGATGATGATGATGATGATGATGATGATGATGATGAACTGACATGATAATCATCATGACGCATTCTCAGCATCACCCGCAGTCATCATGATAATCAAGATAAGGACAGCGGCGACGACCACCACGCCGATGATGATGATGATGATGATGATGTGAATCTTCGGTTAGGCTCATTTACCAGCCAGCCTTGGACTTGTAACCGCCCTTCCCGTACGCCTCCCCCTTTGAGGAGAAGGGGTCGGCGGATTAGAATCAAGTGTGGGATGAGCTAAGTGGAATGGAAAGCCTGACCATGAATAAAGATAAGGGGATCATATCGATTTTCTTGATGGGGGGGATGTGGTTAGCATTATTCAGGGTCTGGTTAATATTTAGTGCATCAGGGTTCATGGGGAATACCCTTGCTGCCAGGGCCAATGTGAAAACCATGCAAATCCCATGGGGGATGATGGTTGGGAGCACTGACCCTGAATACAGATTAGATGCAAAAAGCATGCAAATCCGATGGTAAATCAGGTTTCCCTGGCATGATCCCTGGATAAATTCACTATGCTTTGGAGCACTGACCCTGTATAAAGATTAGATGCCAGAAGCACGCAAACCCCATGGTAAATCAGGTTTTCTTGCATGATCCCTGGATAAATTCACTATGAAACCATGCAAATCCCATGGGGGATGATGGTTGGGAGCACTGACCCTGAATAAAGATTAGATGCCAAAAGCATGCAAATCCTATGGTAAAACAGGGTCCCTGGATACATGTTGTATGAAAACCATGCCATGAAGGATGATGGTTGGGAGCACTGACCCTGAATAAAGATTAGATGCAAAAAGCATGCAAATCCCATGGTAAATGAGGATTCCCTGGCATGATCCCTGGATACATGTTCTATGAAAACCATGCAAATCCCATGGGGGATGATGCTTTGGAGCACTGACCCTGAATAACGATTAGATGCCAAAAGCATGCAAATCCGATGGTAAATCAGGCTTCCCTGGCATGATTCACTATGAAACCATGCAACTCCCATGGGGGATGATGCTTTGGAGCACTGACCCTGTATAAAGATTAGATGCCAGAAGCACGTAAACTGAGGTTTTTCTTGCACGATCCCTGGATAAATTCACTATGAAACCATGCAAATCCCATGGGGGATGATGGTTTGGAGCACTGATTCTAAATAAAGACTAGATGCCAAAAACATGCAAGTCTCATGGAAAATCAGGCTTCCCTGGCATGATCCCTGGACAAACTCACTATGAAATCATGCAAATTTCATGGGGGATGATGGTTGGCCCGGAATAAAGATTAGAGGAAAAAAAGCATGCAAATCCTCTGGTAAATCAGGTGTCCCTGGCATGTCCCTGGATACATGTTCTATGAAAACCATGCAAATCCCATTGGGGATGATGCTTTGGAGCACTGACCCTTGATAAAGATTAGATGCCAGAAGCATGCAAACCCCATGGAACATTAAGTTTTTTCTTGCATGATCCCTGGATAAATTCACTATGAAACCATGCAAGTCCAATGGGGGATGATGCTTTGGAGCACTGACCCTGAATAAAGATTAGATGCAAAAAGCATGCAAATCGCATGGTAAATCAGGTTTGCCTGGCATGATCCCTGGATAAATTCACTATGAAACCATGCAAATCTCATGGGGGGTGAGGGTTGGGAGCACTGACCCTGAATAAAGATTAGATGCCAAAAGCATGCAAATCCCCTGGAAAATCAGGCTTCGAAACCATGCAAATTAGATGAGGGTTGGGAGCACTGACCCTGAATAAAAATCTGCATTTTGTATGGATCCCAATGGGAATTCTAGAGTTCTTTTGTGAGCTGGGGAACTGAGGATTCATTCATTCATGTTGGGGGAAGGTTATATTATTGAATAGTTTATGTTATTTTGTCATCTTTTCATATTTTTCACCTGGGAAAAAACGGTTAGCATTGTTTATGGTATATTTATTATTTTTTCGGGAAATCGGTTAGCATTATTTATGGAATATTTACTAATCGTAGGTCAACATTATGTGTTTTGCCTGGGAAGGGAGGTTTTGGGTATGGGAAAGGGTTGTGTAAAACACGTAAATAAACATGTTGCAGCAACTCAATGTCCGTTCGAACACACAGAGGCCATGATTGTGTGTGTATGCATACATGTATGCGTGCATATGCGTGAATCTGTGAATCTGTGTGTGTGTGTGCGAGCACCTTACCTGTCATTCCAGTATGTCTCGTAACCCTGCCCATTTGAACCACCCCGGAGCAAATCCAAAAACACAACAGTGGCTACAAATAGGCAAAATCATGTCAGCTTTCAAACGGGTCTGCGCCAGCCCGGCGGAAATGTAATGCGCATTTGGCAGCAGTCAGGCAAGAACATTTGGTGTGTTCAAGCCGGCCTGGCGCAAATCCAAAGACAACGGTGGCTACACATAGGCGAGGTCAAGTCCAACTTGAAAATGGGGGTTTGCACCAGCGTGGATGCACCCGAACCATCTTCTTTTCAGACAGGGCGTTGTTCACCCTGCGTGTCAGGTAGCTAGACAAGACAGCCTGTATGTGTGCTTGCTTGCCCTAGTTTTTCTCCACTCGTGCCACGCGGAAATTGCAAGCAGTGAGACTGCTTTGAGCCCTGAGCAAGAATGCAAAGTGGTCATGTGTCGTGTCAGGTGGCTCAAGCTTCCCACACCCTCACCCGGAATCCTGCAGGAAATCACCATTTGCGCTCGCGTTGTGACTTTGAGGTTTCCGACAGGCGCTACCGCTACATCAGCTTTGACTTCTTGTGCAAAACTAAATTTGCAACATTTTCCAGCACACTAAGCATGACATGCCAGAAATCTCGCAATAACGTTTGTGTTCGTGAGTTGCCTCCAGGACGATCGGTGGAGACAACTCGTTACAATCAGAAATGCGCCCAAACATTCAAACAGCTGAGCCGTTCTGAACCGTTCCTGCAAAGCAAACCCACTACAACCTGAACCGCTCTGAACCGTGGCAGGTCAGGGTGTCCATAAACGCATCTTGGTTCAGAACCGTTCTGAATCGTTCTGAACCGTTCCAAGCCTTTCCTAGCCACGGAACCGTTCTGAACCGTTCCCGAGGCCAGCGCACGGACGCAGAAGAACCGTTCTGAACCGTTCTTTAGACCGTGATTTGTCTCAAGATATGAGCCTTACACATATGTCAAGATGTAGCCGGTTCTTGACTCGAATGCTCGATCTTGAGCTCTTAAATTGGCACAAGCTGCTTCTTACTTCTTGCCATGAGCAAAGAAATAGTGGGCACAACTGTAGTGCCAAGCCAATGTAGCCACAGACCATGCCTTCGCAATTGTGTTCTTAAGATGTCTGATGACTTGGCCTTGCAAACATGTCGGTATGTGCTGTCGCAGTGCCACGCTGAAATTTATGTTGCTTGCAAAATTGATTTGCTATGCATAATTATGCAGTTTATTGTTTGCGTACTATGTTGCAAGATGTTGTGAGCAACTACATGCAGGGCTGATTGTGTTGAGGCTGGTTGTTTGCCGCAGGGGCAGGGCTAACTTACAACGTGAGTTGCGACGTAGGTTGTTACGCGGGTTCTCTTGTGACCTTACAGGTTCGGAACTGCTCAACACATAAAGAGGCCACAGTTTGGTCTAATTTATGTCCAACCATTTTGGACGGGGTTGCCCTATCAAAATTCATTATGTCTTGGAATCCTCAGCTTCAGATGCTTTGGTAAACACTCACTCCCGGCCCCGGAATGACTCGGGTTTCGCTTTCTCGGAAGTCGCCTTTAATCAAAGTTAATATTACTGGTCCCCTAGAGACAAGTACTTGGAACGCTTCTGCGGGGTTGACGATGAGGGAATCACACTGCCGGGCCGCGATGGACTTCTCATCCTTCCACTTCTCCAGTGTTGCGCGGCTCTCAGTGGCAGACCAGTGCCTCGGTCCCGTGAGTCCGGCCCCTCCCAACAATCGGCCCAACCAGGTCTTTGGGATCCCTTTTTGGCCCACGCAAAATGGCTTGAGTTGTCATTCTTAGAGCAATGTTTATCATTTGGGGGTATTTTGGCTGGAGCTAGATCCGGGAGGTTCCAGAGATGCTGTTAGGAATATGTCGCAAACATATACACACATACAGGTGTATATATATATATATATATATATTACACTTATACTTACATATATGCGGCCAGCGCTTGTGGTTTGCTTGGAGGCGCTTTTTCAGGAGGACCCTCTCGCCCAGAATCCTCGCGCCTGCCAGCGGTTTAGCACCTGCGCCTCATATCGAACTGCCGATGTTGAAGGCATCGCAAGTTTTCATGCGCCGCGCGCCGCTGCGCAAGGTGCAGCTTTATACGCGTCACTATCTGCGTGTTCTGTGGCTGACTAACCTGTTGCTATCAACAGACTCGCATTCACGAGCAACTCCCATGGGTTGGTTGGCAGGCAATGAACTCCAAGCTCAAACCTGAGATGGCGCCAATCTGAACGCCAGTCGGGAAGCCAGTCATCGCCTCTTCCAAAGACTGTCCAACAGCGACGTTCAACAGTAGGGCGTTTTCAGATGCTCCTTGTTGTCAGCACACACGGCGAAGGCACGGACGACGAAGATGCCGCGCAAGCCGGAAGCCTCATTCTTCTCACGCCCCACCCAGCAGGAAGCCGCTCTCGGGTCAATCCGCAGCACCTGCCAGCGACATCGCCCCCAGCTCAAGGCGACCCAGCACCAAACGGTGGCGAGTCTTCTGCACCCCTGTGTCGCCCTGGCAGATAGATTTGCCGCTCAGCCAAAGCGGCGCGCTTGCTCGCAAGCAAGAAAATGAATGGCCGCGGAAAAACTCCTTTGCTCTTCGTCTACGGTCATTCCTTTCACAAGCAAGCAAACAGGAGAGTGGGTGACATTGCAAAGTTTAACACAATGGAAAAATCTAGAGACACAACTATGGTGCAAGGTGACTGCATGTTGTCCGGCGTCTTTGAGATATTCGGCTGGAATTTGCTTGCATCCGCCCGCCTGCGCCCGCTGGGCTCCGCGAGGCCCTAGATGGGAGAGGGGGGTCTCCGCTAGGCTCCCTTCAACTAGGTTTCTTTTTGAAACAACGCAGCGTGTCGCGCGCTTCACATGGCAGCGTAGCGCCACATGGATTGTTGGCTGCTCTGTCCAAAGGCTAAGTAAGCTGAGACAAGCCATGACACCTCGACTTGCACCCGTGCTTCAGGATGTGACTTTGTCTACCCTGTGAAATGCTGTGAGCCTCTTTGCTCCCAGTAAAAAACAATTAGTACAAATATGCGGCCGTCGCTCAGCCCGGCTGTTAACAAAAAAGACTTGTCAGCGCGGCACACGTGAAGTTCAGTCAAACACGTCAAGCCCCCACATACACAAGATCCGAGTATATAATGTGCTGCCCGGGTCGTTTGCCGTCAGCCTTGTCCACTGAGGGAAGCTTAAGTTCGCACCGTCGGAGCATGGGCCGGGGGCAGGGTGGGGGGGGCAGGGTGGGGGGGGCAGGGTGGGGGGTGGTTTTATCCGATGGAAATGCTTCTTAGGCTCAGAAACTGTACTTCTCGAGTCCGTCCACTATGACATACGCAAAGGCTGTCCTTTAGTCTCTGTTTCATGCAACTCGGACTTTTGTCTTGTGCCCAATCACGGAAATTGAGGACCTTCCATTAAAGCCAATGTGCCTATACAAGTTTTGTTGCTTGACTAACAGTCCCTTTTGTTTGTTTGCAAGTGCCCGCGCAGCAAACACCGTCGGGCTGAGCGATTGACTTTGTGCCGTGCACCGTTTGCTTGAATATCAGGGGGTACCACAATTTCGTTGGCACTTGGGGCTTCGCGGTCTTTGTGGCAATGGGAAATGCAACGGTTACCTAATCCAGAACCAGCACTTGCGGCAGCGATTTATGTGCTGGTCGGCAGACTTGGACAGCTTCTCCTTAGAGGCGTTGGAGTGGATGGGCGGGCCGCGAATCCTTGCTGGCCGTATATATGGTATATGCTGTATATACCAAGCTTCCTGAATCTGACCGTTTTTCGATTTGGCTGTGGGTCAAGAATTCGTACCCAAAATGGAACCCTGATAAATGGAACCAAAGACTAAAACCTGCGGTCTCCTGGTGGGTTTCTCTTGACCCATACCCATGTAGCCACAGGGCCTCTCCAAGCCGTGCAAGGTGATCACCATTGGCCGCTCCGTGCTACTCTCCCAGCCTGAGGCAGCACAAGCCGAATTGGCGTCACTAGAAGAAAGAACTACCCCAAAGGATGGTCCGATTCCCAAAGCAAATCCCCTGAAAAATGGTTTTGTGGTGCCGGAACCTAGCCTTTTTCTCGGGAAATCACCTTCATTAGGAAACTACCTTTGGCGTGCAGGTGTTCGTATTTTGGTAGGCGTCATTTTGGCGTCGGCAGCAAATGTTTGTTTGCGCGACATTCGAGCACAAGCTGAATGACGCAATCTTGTTTTTGTCCAAGTTGGGAAGCCATACTCGTTTGGGGTGAATGACTCAGTGCACAAGGGTTCCCATTGGATCCAGCGTTCCAGTTTCTGGTTTCTGGTCGAAGCAGGTGTCTCAGCTAACTCTTAGTTGGTGGTTTAGATCAGCGGTTTGGGATTTGAGCCCCTGGATCTTGCAATGGGAACGAACCACCAAACCACCGGGCTCCAAACCACCAATTGAAGGGAAGCTGAGTTTCTGGTGGTTTCACTCCATTGGACTTGTGCGTGTCATGCCCACCAATTTACAGCCAGTCAGAATCCAAGGGATAGAGGACTAATGAAGGGAAAGGCTTTTGAAGGCTCAAGTCATGCCTCGCGCTCGATTTTGGTCTCCCTCCAGTGAGTTTTTACTTGGCGTTTGGTTACATGGATATATTTCCTCTAGGTTACATGGTGTTCCCCCCAGCTACCTGCAGCCGTAACTGGATCCATTGGCGTTTTAGCTTTGGTGCAATTTGTCTATTTTCTTTCTTGATGTTCCTGTCCGTTTCTTTCCTTCTTGTTGTTTATCCTTCATTCCTTGATTACTGCGTCCTTTCTTTATTTCTTTCTTTCTTGCGTCTGTTTGCTTGCTTGCTTGCTTGCTTCTGGTCTTGTGTTTCTTGTGACTTTCTTTCTTCAGTTGTGTTTTTTCTTGTGTGCTTTACTTTGTTTAAGCTTATGTCAACTTGGTGTCTGGACTGCGTATGACTTAACATCTTACCCCAGGGTTGGGCGCCAAGCTTTGTTGGAATCGCCCTTGTTCCAAGCTGTTTTTTTGTCAGGAACCAAAGGGACACACACACAAATGTGCCGGCTCCTCTTTGCTCTGCCCTCCAAACAGGTGCTTTTTAGGGTCCTGACCCTCCTCAAACTGGTCCAATGGTGGGAAAGGGGGCCCCTCACAAAAATGCGCCGCCCATTTGGGTTCGTCTCGGGTCTGGGAACCCAAAGAGCGGTCCACTGCTTCCTTCCGGCGTTTTGCCACTCTAGGTAAGGCGAGATGATGAAAAACCTGGTAGCCATGCAGTTGTCACTGGACTTCCCCTTTAACGACCGCTGGCCAGAACTTGCTGGCGCAGTGGGCAAAACATGACCTTCCGATTGCTGGGAATCAAGCCGAATAAAGGACACCACCAGTTGGATTCATTTGTTTTATGTTTTGTTGTTGTTTTTTGCTACTATTCGTTTTTGTCGGGGGGGAACTCCCTGAAAGGAAGGGATCGACCCTTTTCTTTTGCTTGGGGCCCTTCCAATTCTCTCCTTTACTGAACCAACGCACGAAGCAGCCAGCCAGATCCCCCCAGCCCCCCTCCCCCACCGCGAGCAGCCCATGTCCCCGAAGACGGCGAAGGAGAAGGCGCCCTCCGCCTTCGCGGAGGTGAAGCTCAGCACCTGGAGATGTCGGTCGGGGAGCCGCGGCCCTGGAGCCGTGGGGGATTCCTCCAAGGAACGCCCCGGAAATGACCCGGAGCCCAGGACCACAACCACCGAAACACATGAAGAACCACCGCCAAAAACGACGAAAGACGTGAAAAGCACACACCAACACGAGGAGCAAATGAGAAAAGCTTGCCTCGAAAGATGAAAGCCGGATCGATCCATGTGGGTTTTTGCCATGAAACCACATTCAATTTGGTCACACTGCCCAGGGCTATACAGAAACGGGTGGCTTTTCAAGCTCAAGGATCAACCTTCAAGGAAACCAGTCAGGGGCTTAGCACGGAGTCCGGAGAATCCTGAAGCCGAAAGCCTAATCCAAAACAACTGCACAGCCAGGCCAAAACCACCACCAAGACAGAAACCCACACCTATACAAAACCCAGAAAGCTCCTGACAAAAAAAAACAAAAAAGCCCGGAAACACCCCGAAACCACCCAAACACCAACCCTAAACCACGCAAACACCACCCCAAAAGGATATGGGTTGAACTTACTGAAGCCAGCCGTGCTTACCGGTAGCCAATCAGATTTTCCAACTAACTTGCCCAAGATGTGGCTTATATTGCGTTGGGTATACTCGCAAGCAGCCGTACATTACAAACTTCAGGGTTGCTCCCATACCTCGGCACAAGGAGCAAAAAGGGACTCAAGGAAACAAACAGAAAAAGAAAGGCAGCGCCTTGCAGAGCACCCGCTTCTGTCTTGATGCCATATGTTGGAATTTCACACTTTGAAAACCAATCATGACCATGTCAGTGCCAGTGAACGCAGATCATTCACTTTGCCCGTGCAAACACCCAACGAGCCTTGGACATCGTGTGCTAGTAACTTGAGATAAAACAAACAAATGATTCTGAAACCAACCCAGTTGATGGAATTCACGTCTGAGTCGCAATCAACACCTGGGGACCTGGTGGGTCGGCAGGGGATCCAAGGGACGGATATCTGCACCAATTTTGCCTGGGCCTGTCCCCTTGTAGCTTGGTTGACCCTAAAATGGCTCTGACAAATAAGGTGCAATTTGGACCGTGTGACTAAGCTTCCCTGACCCGCGAAACCAGGGTCTAGCACCTGCGACCACTTATTGTCCTTGGCGCTGCCAACACGGTAGAAGTACCTGGGCGCCCATTGAAACGCATGCGCTTGTGGTTCCCTGAGTCTACTGCCCAGCTTGGTCAACGTACAAACCTTGGATTCATTCCACAGATTAACATGGAACAGGAAAAGGGGGAAAAACAACACAACATTTCTAGAGGGGAACTGTTGTTGGGTTCCATGTTAATTTGTAGGGGAGTAACTTTTCTGTAGGGAGTCCTTTCAAGGTGAACTGGAAGACTGGCCTTTCTGCATGCCAGGCCTCGCAAAATTTCCGGACACCGTTTGAACTCCCTTAAACATTCGCATGCCCCAAACAACACCAACATGTGTAGATGGGTTCTCAACACAAACCAAACACCCCAAGCAAAATGGGTGTGCTTCCTTTTGGAATCCCTTTATATAAACCAAAACCCAGGCAGTTGGTACCAACTGAAAAACGACGCCCACTTCTGCACCTGGAGCTCACCGACAAACGTGAAACACACGTTTTCGCCGCTTTTCCGCAGCAAAACACCTAAGGGGGCCCAAGGTGTTCTCCGGTCAAATGGCCAGTGATCACTTGGGTATGGGTCAAACGAAACCAGCATATAGACCGCAGGTTTTATGCTTACCGGGTTACCCTTTTTTGACCCACACCCACTTGCCACCTGGAAGACCAAAAGGTGTGCCCTCAACAAAAAACGCCCCATACAGAGTTGCCTGTATCTTTGATCCGGCACAATCATTGCCGCACTGTCAAAATGATTGGCCACAAGGTGACTCAGAATCAAAACATGCTACGCAAAACGATGCACGGGGGCCCCACGACCCTTCATCTACCCGGGTTTTGATTGTCTTGCTGGTCCTCAGCAGTCAGCAGGGAATGAGGGAATGACACCTATACACCATCCCTTGTGGTTTCCTTTAAGGGAAACCCTGGGTTCATTCCCACATTCCGTACTGAGCACTAGCAAGTTGTGTCTGTTGGCAAACCACCACCAAAGGAGCGCAATGCGCAGCTTCGTTCCCAGCGGAGCTGCTTGGTGTCGGCCTTCAGGTTCGACATCTCCGCATGGGAGTGAAAGCCTCCCGTTTGCGTGGCTGGCCGTCTTTTTGAGGCAAAGGGCACCCATTTGTCGTTCTTTGGTTGCCTTAATAGCAAATTCCTATTGACCAATTTGTCAGCAACCTGCCATGCACAAGCGGTCAGAATCCCAAGCAAACAAAAACACCCAACGCATCGGATCGGCCCTTGAAACCAACTTTTGAGCAGCCGCAAAGCAGTTGTGACCCCAGGAAGCAGGAAGAAAGGCCCATGGCCTAAACACCAAAACTGGCTTCGGTTTATTCAAGGACCCTTGAGCTTCTAGTCCAACCATGTCCAACCCTAGGGTGTTTCTGTTGTTTTTTTTTGGGGGAGCCGTTTTGGCTGGTTTTCAACGGGGAAAACCAAAGAACACCTCCCCTCAGAAATAACGCCAGGTCATATGGACGGAACCCACAGATGTTCTGGCCCGAAACGGGGTCTGCATTGAGCCTTTGGCTCACTTCCTGCGTGGACTGGCCAAGAAAGCCCAAACTGTTTATGTACCACTAAAGTTGTCTTCTCAAACAAGTTGCAAAAGTCCACGAGGTCTGTATATACATGGTCCTGGTAGATTATGAAACAACCAGGTCAACCAGGCACATCTATTTGCTACCAAAACTCAACAACAAGGGCACCTATGGGTCTGCATCTAAAAAACAATCGGCTGTTCCCATAACATATGCAGGAGTCCGTCGAAGGAGTCTCCATGCGGCACAGTGCAAGCTCCTGGTTTGACCATCGCTCCTGCCAAACACTTAACTGGGCTGTCCATTTTCTGATGCCCTGCTAAAAGTGACTAACTTTTAGAGGGTTAATGGAAACCGCTAAACCTGCAGCTAAAATCCTAAAAACCTAAGGAACCGGATGGCTGGGAACCGCCAAGTTAAGTCGGCAAGTCACAACTGGTTGCCCGCTAAGGCGAGGTCTGAACCCCAAGACGCACAAAGGATTGGAAAAACCGCATGAGGCTTGGTTTGCATGGGGACCAGCCATAAGCAACCTGCGCACTTTTGTTTCGGGGGGCGGGTGCTCACATTGCCTCATAGAGTCCTTTCAAGCTGCCTGCTTTGCCCATGGGCTTGTTCCAATCTTTGCAACGGCCCGAAATTGGCTCTTCGCCTTCGGTGCTTCCGTTTGGGGTTGCCTGAAGGCACCCAATAGGACACAGCAGTTTGGAAAAGCAAGATGGTGTTTCACTCAAAATCTGGCCTGGCCCCTCCAAACTGGAGGTTTCCTTTTGTCCTGGCTTTCCCCTTGATGTCCAAAACCAGGTCGGCCCAAGGCCTGCGTTGCTCATGTAGTGGTGGGACGTTCCTGAACTCGGCAAAAGGCGGCAGCACCAAATCCTCACTCCCAAGCCTTTGGGCACCCCCATGGTTGCGGATGCTAGCTATGGGGGGGGGGTGGTAGTTGAGAGCCAGTTTCAGGCTCCTTAGGGTTCCGGAGGGAGTAGTAGCCTTGGGGAACCCCACCCCTCCCTGCCCCCTTGGACCACACCCCCTTAGATCCTTTGGAGAGTCTCCAAATGTCTCCAACATGGTCTTGGAAGTCTTCATGGACATCAGCAGCCGATTGCGGATGCTCACGTTTGAAGCAAAGATCTTCCCTGGTGCACACGTCACAATCATGAAACTTTCCCAGGACCCATTGCTTCACAGGGGCTCACATCTAATAGGATTTTGATGTTAACGTTTGACAGGAAGTGTCCACTTGAACAAATATGCGCCAAGCTTTCTTGTCAGCTTTAGTATGGGTTTACGATGACCTGCTTGACAAGCGCAAAGCTGAAAAACACGGAGACCTCAGCGACTCAGTGTTCCAAGGAATCAACACCACTAACCCGGCTATTTGTCCTCGAATTCTTCGCAGTGTGTGAACTCTCATAGATAGAATACCACGGACTCGCATTTTTGGTGTAACTTACATTGTGATTCACCTGAGGTCAAACGTGGACCACCAGAACATGACCTTCCTGGGCGAAAACAGCGGCAACGCAATGCCTCATCGGGGATGATGATTTGCTCAAATAGAGTATGAGCCCCGGGTATGAGCCCTTGGCTTTGCGGTTAGTTCAACATCGATTATCAAATGATGGTTGAATTAAGGCAAACTGTTCGCCACCAAAGACAGAAATCATTGATTGAACAGTCTTTAAGAATATCAGGGTGTCTGGAAGCAGCTCTCCTTTTGGATGGTATCTACAGGGAAACCAACAGGAAACCTCCCAGTTTGCTCAAACCTGCTTAAACAATAGGGTGTTCAAATGTTGCCTCATGGGATCCCCCAAACCTGCAAGGGAAGCCCCAAAGTGAGCAACATGATAGCTTGACCGATCCCTAAGCCGGGCGCGAGTTAAGCGAACCCGGGGCAAAACGGATGCCCCTGCCTTCGGCGGACTGGTCGAGTGACTCGGACAGGCCGAATTGGACCTCGATTGTTGCCGGCCGAAGTTGGTTCCAAGCGTTGCGGCAAAGACAGGTGTAGCTCCTTTTTTGAGGGTGTCTTTTTAGTGGTTTTGAAGGAAAACCCAGGACACATTTTGAGGGTACTGTCCAAAACGATACACCCAGATAGGGAGTTGTGCGGCACACATGCTGACGTTCAGAAATTCAGCTTTTGGGTCAGCGCTCGGGCTGGCTGGCCCCAGGGTTTCGTGCAGAATTTTGCCCACCAGGGTGGGATACTCTCACCCCGCCAAGAGAAGCATGCCCTCAAATGAGACATGTCTGCATTCATCCAGCGTTTTTTGCCAGGGTTGCCACTACCCCGATCAACCGGATGTGACCTGTTTCTGTTTTCCTCCATTTACAGTGACCATCCCTAGTTCAAGGGTCAACCCTGAACCCAGGATATACCTATTTTCTACCATCATCGTAGTAAAGCGGACCAAAGGTCAGCGCGACCGTGACCAGTGGCCCAGTGGGCATGGGAAAAAAGGACATCATGGGCATCCTTCTTTGGTTGGTTGACTTTAAAGGGAAAACCTTCCCAACACAAAAGGGAAAAAGGGCACCACTGGGCAACTGGGGAGATCTCAGTGCTAGTTGGAAGAAGGGAACTTGGAAACTTGGGCACTGTCATCAGCTTGCCTCAAAATGGCTTGGGGATCAGGGCTGGAGTGGGGCTTGACCAGAGGCCGAAAATACCGTTGATGAACCAATCCATCACCAGTTGGCAGGTGGTGCATCCCAATCTTTGCAGATCTAAACAATCCTGAATGTAGGATTTATATTGTCCATCCACAGCAGGATCGGGACCCCGGGTGTCCTTTCCTAAAAATCCATGATACTGGTAAACTATGAGCCAAAACAACCTGAGGAAGACCATGACTTGCTGGGTGACGTTTTCTCTGAGTCTACTTCTTTGAGAATTCTACGACTTTGGTTTTCCTTTCTTTCGCTTGTGGTGGGTACTTTTGCCGCGGATGGTCTAACTCTGCCTCTCAAATGGCGGACACCCCAACTGGCTGGAGCTTGCAACCAGCACTGGCTTGGCTTCTCACAGCATGTGTTTGCTCCTTTTCTGGGGTTGTCGAATCTCAATTGAAACGCCCATGTGTCTGGATGGTGAGATCCTAAAAAAACCGAAAGCCAATCAACAAGACTCCCAACACAGAAGCACAAGGCAATCTGCCCAAAGGTTCAAGCTTCTTTGGGGTACCATTCCAACCGACCCGACCAAGAAAGAGGTTGAATAGGCCTCAAAGCGTGTTCCAACCTGGTTGCGTAACAAACCATTTTCTGTGATACCAGAGTGGCTGACGCCCGCTACTTTCCGGAGATTTCGCTGATGTCACATAAAGACCCTCAAACATTTGGCAGTGGGTCAGAAATAGGTACCCAAAATGGAACCCTGGTAAATAAAACATGGACAAAAGCCTGCGGTCCCCAATGTTGCCCCATACCCACTTGACATTAAAAGTGTCCTCCCCCCCTCCAAAAAAAAAACAAAAGGCGACCCCAAAAGGCAGAAAAAAGGCACACCTTGTTCATGAGGAAAACCGGGAAAAAATGCCCACCGGAGGCCTGGGGCCTGGCCCCTTGTGCAAGCTGTCCGAGCCGCAGTGCTGTCCTTCGGCTGGCTCCTGGCTGGCTCCGGCCGTGGAGCCAAATTCGCATGGGGCGGCGATAAAACTCGGAAGTGGCAGGGTGTGGCTCAACTCAAACAGCTGGGGTTACGCAGGTTTGAGTTTCTGCTTGCCAGGGTTCCACCATTTTGGACCCCCATTTTGAGCCACACCCTCAAAGCCAAACTCTGCATCAATCCAGGTGAGCGCCGAAAACCGCCCAAGGACCCTGGGTTCCAACATAGTTATGGAGGTGTAGAGGTTTTGTAGGTTGGAGCGGCTTTACCATGATCTCAATCAACGCGGGCGGTAGAAAGTAGAAACACCTGTTAAAATGGGCAACGGGGTTTTGGGTGCTCAGGTGGGTACGGTGAGTAACAAGCAGCTAGCAGAACTGATGTGTAGATAGCACACATTTGGAGATTGTTCAGGAGTAGGTGGGCCATGTGCTACTGATTGTTACTCGCCACACTTTTGGTTGGTGTTCAACTGGAACAAAAGGGAGCACAACCATTTGAGTCCCCTAATCAAAGACACATCCAAAAGGTTACATACAAACTCTCATCAAGGGAAATGGTTCGTTCCACAGGGGTTGCTCAAACGGGTCCTGTACCCGCAGCTGAAAAATCTGTCACTTTCCCTTTGCAGATTCTTAAAGTCTTGGTACCCTCAAGAAGACACTCCCAAATAGCGACCAAGACTACTTGTGAATCGTCATTTCGGCCAGCGTGAGCCGCGGTGAAAATTTGCCAGTGGCAATATCAGCGTGTCGCCCTGCTTTTGTTGGCGCTTCTCAAAGACATGCATGTGTCCCTGGCTTTTGTGGGAAATCTGGAGCTCCCAGAAAATGGGAAAGTGAGCATATGTCCTACATGAACTTTGCGCCCTACACACAAGCTTTAACGGCTTGCTGCTTTGTGGGTGGGCAAAATCATCATTTCCAACCAAGTTCAAGTCTAAAGATCCAACCAGAATCATTTTGCAACATCCGTGGTTTTCCAAAAAGGGATCCACCTAAAGGTCCATCTTATCCATGTCTTCCCAGATGGAAACCCATCGACACAAGGCGCACACCGATATTCGGCCTGGTGAACCACGACACCGTCATGCCGGAAGGGTAGCCAGCAGCATCCTGTGAAATACGTGGGCATGGTGTTCCTTTCTTGCTTCTTTCGGGGGGGAAGCCCCTTTTTGATGGTGATTTGATTTGGGAAAGGAAACTCCTTTTGACTGATTGCATTTCATCTTTTTCATGTCTTGCTTTTGTTTTTGTTTCTTGTTGTGTTCTTTCTTCTTTTGGCGGAGGGGGGAGGGTTTTTTTGCAGCGGAAACCAAGATGAAACCAGCCCCGTCCCGTGATGTTTGAGACAAAGCCACATGGGCACTGCAAGTCAAATGTTTAAAGTTGTGTTTACGCCTTTTGTTTTTTAAAATACCAGCATAGCCTCAAGGAACCAAACGCCCAAAGCCAACGCCCAAACCCATTGGCGTTTGACCCCATAGCTGCAGTTGGGGGCGACGAAACGGAACTGCAGGGTCCCTTGTTTGTCTTGAGGGGGCGGGGACCAACTCGAGGTTTTGTATAATCGCGTCTCCTTCACTCTCGTTTGAACAATATTCTGGTCCAATCGACATAATTCACCTTGCGTAGACATCCAATCACGGCTCAAACGCGTGGTTGCTTGAATACCGCTAAACAATATGAGAGTGTCGAAAAAGAGGGAGCAGGGAAAACCTGCTGCCAGTTTGGGGGCTGCCAACTTCCCAATCTTTTTGGACACCCCGTTCACTTGGGTCCATGAAAGTGACATCTTCAAACAATTTGGTGTTAACGTTTGGCCCGGGTCATTCCAACTCTTGCTCAATCAATATTGTGGAAGGGGACATGGCGCAATGGCGCGCCAGGACTTGAAATCCTGGAGGTTGGCGCACATCCTGGCCCTAGTTCCAACTTTGTGCTCCTTGATTCCTGAGCCTCTCTATGGCATCGAGCGATTGGAATCTCCTTGTTTGAGCGGCCAAAAGAACAGAACCACGTGGCTTCATTGGACACCAACCCAAATTCGCTTGAAGGCATGTCCTGCCCAGCAAAGGCCAGGTGGATCCTCAGCCGGAAAACCAGAAACACGCGGAGCGGGGAGTTTAAGGCAACGTACCTGAGGAGCCCGACTACTTGCAAGGCACCAAAAGTGTATATGTATATTTATGTGTATACACTATGTGTATGTGATGTATGCACATAATATGTGTATATATTTATATGTATATATATATATACGTGCAGGTGTATGTGTGCGATCATTTTGGCGAGCTCACCTGCAGGTAGAACTCTTTAACTGAACTCACCCGACGACGAAGGTACTCCCCCGATTCACATGATTCATGGGATTTATGTTGATGAATGATGGCAACTAGTACAAATACCAAGAAAGGAACTAGCGGTGCTTCAGCGAAGCGGAGTGATGCCAGTAAGTATGAAAGGACACCACCTAGCAAAAAAATGAAGGTAACGTGGCTGATTACCTACTGTCTCATCTTTCCCCGAATTGGTGGTGTGGTTTCCTTCCTACGCTCAGGAGTGAGGGGTTGTAAAACCCCAATCCAACCCAACGGGTTTCTAAACTGGAATCAGGTCTCGTTCTATTGGCCTATGGTCGAGGTCATTGTAGTTGTTGTACTACCAGGTGTATGACCATCCCAACATTCACCCCAAGTGAAGGGGGTCCTTTCACTGTGGCACATCTGGCTTGCTCCCCCCTTCCGACTTTCCTGGGTACGGAGTTTGTGCCGTAGGAATAGGCCCACCCTGCATAACAAGATAAATACTACCAGCTACACAAAGTCATGTGGGTCTCAAATCCGTGCCCTATGCTTGGTTTCCGATTGATTTCCCTTGAATTACCAACCAAAAGGTGATCCGTTTTGAGACACCCTCATGTTGTCAATGCAAAGCCTGCCGGCATGCATCCCGATTACCAACACAAACACCAACTTCGGAACGGTAGTAATAACTATTCTACCAGAAAGGACTGCGTGTTTTGCCAGCGTGCGCTCTTGCCTATGACCTAAGGTTAAGCTTCTGGCAATGAGTGTGGTTTTGAGGGTACTTTGTTTGGTTGAGACAGAAACCTTAACAGGAACAAAAACGATTTGGATCCCCCGATTTGACACACACACACACACACACACGCGCACTTCGATGAGCAGCAGCTTCAGGGTGCCAGCTTTGGAATTAACCGAGCTTGGCCAATTTGCCGATTCACAACTTGCTCGGTCTGAAGACCGACTGGAGAGCATCCGATTTGCGCTTGAATCGCGGTCGCCCTTCCCGGAATTTCAGTGAAACCGCAAAAGGGGGTGAGGCCCAATCAGAACCCTTGCAAAGGCCAGGCAAAACGAAGAAAAGGGATGGTAGTCCGGACGGCACGCTTATTCAGTTTGGGGTGGGAGCATTCGCCACTCAACCCTTCTGTTAGAGGGGGGGGGGTGGATGGACCTCCGGCAATAAGTTGCGTGTCCCAAAATGAGGACATGGACCCTCGCCAGTGCTTCCAGCAGCTACTATGGAATGCTGAGTGTTACACAAAGGGTCTAAAAAGCTTCAACATCTTTAGGAACAATAGAGCTTGCTGTTGATTACACACTCCACTATGTAAATGTCGGTGTCCAAAAGAATAGGCCCCAACAAATGGGCGGTTTCCCTCTGCATTCCCTTTCAACCAAACCCATCCTTGCCACGGCCAAAACTCCTCATGTGGGCCATTGTCTCTCCAAAGTAAACGGGTTTTGACCCTTTGCAACCCTTGGTATGCTTGCAAAAACTGTCTGTTTTTTTTGCAGCCCCCAAACCTAAAAATGAACAGAACCAAAAAACAAACAGCAACAGAGTTTATCCAGGAACAGCGAAGGACACGTTTGAACACCGAGGGGCCATTTTCCTGGCCTTGCCAGCAACTCGCCTCCAACCCTGTGGCATTGCTCGAACCTCCAAACAAACGCGGCCAAACCAAACTGAGGGGAGGTTTACAAAATCCTGGACAAGTGGGGTGGTTTTGGTAGGAATGCGCTCAGCGACCAAGAAAAAGCCGCTGGCGGTTGGTTAGGAAACGAAAGACCTCCAAAAGCGCCAAAGGTAACACCTCGCGAAGGGTTCACCAGTCTGTCTCTCCGATCTGATTAGCCAACCTGAAAATCCTCACTCCCTCAAGATGGGTTTGGTTCCTTTTTTTGAGGGTACCCTTTTTGTTGGTGGGGTTTGAAGGGAAGCCAACAGGAAAACAGCCGCTTAAGGGGTCCGATGCCTCAAACAAAATCCAAGACCCGTGTGGTCTTAAGACAACGAGCGACCGCTCGTAGAAAGCACCGTGCGGTGTTTTTCAATCAGGCATCCCTGAGGATGGCTGGTTTCCCTGTCGGTTTCCCCTTCAACCGTTGCATTCATTCGAAAAGGGGAAACCGTATTGAAGCAGCCCCTGTTGGTTTCCCCTTTAAGCCATTCGAAGAGGGGAAACTTTGTGAAACAGCTCAGAAATAGGTTGTTCATGTGGCCGCAGGATTTGTTGGGTGCCCGGTGCCAAGCGGCTGCTCAGGATTCAAGTGCTCAGCAACCGCCAGCGTCAGCACCGCCAGCCGCCACATCGCTGCCAAACGCTGCGAGGAGGGTGGGCTTTTCCGACCAAAGCGGGAGGCGCGCGCGATCCCGCTTGACGCACTAGATGGGTCAGAAATGCCGTGATTATCGGTGAAACTATTCATAACTTGGGAGTTTCAGCAGGAAATCAGCCACACACCGGTTTGGGCTGATGAATGCGCCACGGTGATAATGTGTCTGAAGAAACTTGCGTGCCCCTGCTTTGTGTGGGTTTCCCCGGGCCCCGGTCCCTCCAAACTTGATCATAAGACAATCGATACTCCTAAGCCATGGCAGGGGTAGGAATTTGGGAAACCGCAGCGCTGGTAAGGGCACCCTCGTAACCAACATGTGGCAAACTCTTCGGTACATTCCTAAAATATCTTGGCTGCCTGCTGAAAACAAATCTATCAATGGGCTTAGAAAGGTAAGCTGCGGCAGTCATTTGCTACATGGTTGAATGGTCGGGTGTTCCCACCTCGTTCTCCAACCTGCACCCAAATTGGACTCATTGACCTCGTGGTCCAACGCCGCATGTGTTTGTGATCTCAACCACCTATGTGTCATGGGCCTGCCTCGTCTTGGGGCCGTGTTCCCACCTCGTTTTCCTAATTCAGTATTACTGCCCAAAAAGTGATCCCGCCCAGCCAAGCAGTCGCTCGTGTGCAACGCTCTCCTTTTCCTCTGTAAGTGCTGTGCCACAGCACGACTGTCCTCTGTCCTCCCAGTCTGCGCTCGCGAGCGTCCAGAACGCTCCGCAAGCTTCACGCATCCCCTGACGCCTCTGAAATCCGCCTAGCCCGCGTCTGCAGGTGAGGTAAGTCGAAAGCAAGTGGGGCTTGTGAGACTTGGGATTGGAATCTCTGTCCCAAACTTCCAGGCCGGGAAGAACAACAGCCGTTCAGAAGGAAAACTTTCAAACATCAAGGCACCACTAGAGGTCTGGAGTCTGCGGACAAGCTTCCCTTTCATACATGCTATGAACAGCCATGCAAGGCAATTTTCAAGCACTGGCAAACGCTTCCTCAGGCGGGGTGTGGCCGTGCTTCTCAAAATCAAGGGATCCCCGCTAACTTGTGAAAATCGAGCGATGACTCGAAGCCATCGTCAAAGGAAGGAGAGAAACACCCTTGACCTGACCAAGTCCTGTGTCTATCAAAGAATCCTTTTTCTGACAATGACTTTCGTGCCCAACCACTTTGCAGGTGATCCTCCCATCCACAAACACCGAACTTCGACAAGGGGGTCCTGGTTTGGACCGTTTTCCTTTAAAAGCAAAAAACAACATTTTTCCTGTCTAGTTCAAGTGCTACCCACCCCTACCTGTCCTGGGTTCACAACGAGAGTTGACAGATCCTTTGAAGAACTCTGGAGCCTACTGTAAGTGGATTCGGACCCTAATTGGAGGCAGTTCCTTGGTATGTCCTTTCAAAAAGATTCTCTGTTGATTTCGCGCTGTTTCTCTTGGTTATACCCATGTTAAAATTCATTCAAGCTATCCACACAGTTTTGGTATCCATAACTTTCCCTTTCCTCTAGTAGCCTCTTCTCTGTTTGGTGTCCCATAACGGATCCATTTCCAGTTTTGCTCGAGGCTGCCGAACAAGGAGACATGCCAAACTCAAACCCAAGCAAGACCAAAGCACATCAATCAAAACCTCTTCTTCCCTTCCCACCCCACAAGGGGGCACATCCCTTTGACCCTTTGGCCGGCCGAGTCTGCTCAGATATTCCTGGGCGGGCCCTGGCTCAGTGAGGGGACCAGCGCCGCAGCAAGTCCTGGCACCGCTCCGTGAAAATAAATTTATTGGATTCGTTGCTGGCGAGACACCTCAGCAAAACTAGGTCCTCCAGTAGAGAGGTTAGAATAAGGGTACCCATTTTTCGGTAGTCTATTTTAGTAGGGGACCCCTCCCGCAAAAAAGGGTAAAAGGGCACTACTGGGGGACCTAGAAAAAGTGTTTCACTTCTGGTGGGTCCAATGGAAAATACAAACTGTTTCACTGTTTCAACCAAAAAGGGAACTTCCAAAGCTTCGCTATCAAGTTGCCATAAAGATGGCGAGTGGGCCGGAAGCATCTTGAAAAATGTCAATGGGTTTCTGCCCGGGTTCATGGTTTCATGCCGACTTTGCCACCGTACATGAGATTCCCTTGGCCACTCGCAGAGTTGGCCCTAAAATCCAAGTTCCAAGTTCACACAACTATGTCCACCTTTGTCCCCGCTACCCTGGTACAGGTCTGCCCAGCGGCTCAACCACTCCGAAACCCTTTGTAGGCACCCCTGATATCTATACTAGGTCGTCCAGTAGAGAGGTTAGAATAAGGGTACCTGCTTTTTCTGTAGTCTATTTTAGTAGGGAAACCCTCCCACAGAAAAGGGTAAAAGGGCACTACTGGGGGACCGAGTATATACTTACATTAAAACATATAATTTACAAGGCTGGTGACCCAGTTGGACACAGGCAAAACTTCGCTAGTGACGGACGGCCTCCCACAACCAAAGAAATAGGCATCGAAGTGCGACTTTTGCTCCCCGGCTGTCGCGGTGCGCATATGTGCCATCAGGGTAGCCCATACTTGACCAGACTTTGACCTCCTGGGAAAAGTTGAACATATCGTTGGAAGAATGATGGAAATCCAAAAAGGAAAAATGCTAAAAAACAACGCTCCGGCAAGGAATGCAGGACAACACCGTGTGTGCTCGTTGCGTGCCGCGAGCAACAACCCCTTCCATCAGGTGGACGGGGGAGAGGATGCGTGCCCCGCAACTGGGCTGTAGGTGAGCTGATATTTACCTCAGGTTTTTCAGGGATCCTTATATTATACACCTGAATATTGCCTTGTAGATGGTGGTTTCCCTTTATTTTGGTGAAGAAAGCCATGTGTCAAATGGTTGCAAAATGCATTTTTTTAGCCCTGTTTTTACATGTGCTTTTCGCAGCCCGTGACTCTCTCTCGAGTTGGTGCCCACAATGCCCACAGCTCGCCTGCAGGCGCCTAGCCTTCTGCTCGGAGTCTTTCTCCGGTACTCTGCCTGCCTCACGGTTGATGACTGCCGGGGTTCCGGCTCTATGATCGGGTTTCAAAGATGTGGGGGGACCCCTTTTGGAGTTTCCCAAACCCCAAGTGGCCATGGTTGAAAAAGAACCATGGCTGCTCTCATTGTGGTAATTGATGTTTTTTACACGAACCCAACTCAAAGAAAAGAGAGAGAGAGAGAGATACCAGAAAAGGAATCATTGAACATGGTTTCATGCCGACTTTGCCACCGTACATGAGATTCCCTTGGCCACTCGCAGAGTTGGCCCTAAAATCCAAGTTCCAAGTTTACACAACTATGTCCACCTTTGTCCCCGCTACCCTGGTACAGGTCTGCCTAGCGGCTCAACCACTCCGAAACCCTTTGTAGGCACCCCTGATATCTATACTAGGTCGTCCAGTAGAGAGGTTAGAATAAGGGTACCTTTTTTTTTCTGTAGTCTATTTTAGTAGGGAAACCCTCCCACAGAAAAGGGTAAAAGGGCACTACTGGGGGACCGAGTATATACTTACATTAAAACATATAATTTACAAGGCTGGTGACCCAGTTGGACACAGGCAAAACTTCGCTAGTGACGGACGGCCTCCCACAACCAAAGAAATAGGCATCGAAGTGCGACTTTTGCTCCCCGGCTGTCGCGGTGCGCATATGTGCCATCAGGGTAGCCCATACTTGACCAGACTTTGACCTCCTGGGAAAAGTTGAACATATCGTTGGAAGAATGATGGAAATCCAAAAAGGAAAAATGCTAAAAAACAACGCTCCGGCAAGGAATGCAGGACAACACCGTGTGTGCTCGTTGCGTGCCGCGAGCTACAACCCCTTCCATCAGGTGGACGGGGGAGAGGATGCGTGCCCCGCAACTGGGCTGTAGGTGAGCTGATATTTACCTCAGGTTTTTCAGGGATCCTTATATTATACACCTGAATATTGCCTTGTAAATGGTGGTTTCCCTTTATTTTGGTGAAGAAAGCCATGTGTCAAATGGTTGCAAAATGCATTTTTTTAGCCCTGTTTTTACATGTGCTTTTCGCAGCCCGTGACTCTCTCTCTCGAGTTGGTGCCCACAATGCCCACAGCTCGCCTGCAGGCGCCTAGCCTTCTGCTCGGAGTCTTTCTCCGGTACTCTGCCTGCCTCACGGTTGATGACTGCCGGGGTTCCGGCTCTATGATGGGGTTTCAAAGATGTGGGGGGACCGCTTTTGGAGTTTCCCAAACCCCAAGTGGCCATGGTTGAAAAAGAACCATGGCTGCTCTCATTGTGGTAATTGATGTTTTTTACGCGAACCCAACTCAAAGAAAAGAGAGAGAAAGAGAGAGATACCAAAAAAGGAATCATTGGCAAACTAGAGGAAGCCGCTCAGTTTGGAAACATATTTGAACCTCAAACGTGGCAACGAGTTCCAGCACATCCGACTGCAGTTGCGAAATCCGTTGGCACCACGAAAAGAAACCAGGGTTGAAATCATGTTTGTTGGTATTTACAGGGGAATCGAGACAGAAACCGTTTCTGAACGGTGGTGCGAAAGGGATTTCGCAACCATCCACAGTAGGCGTCCCTTTTGCGAACATGAATGGCGCTGCTTTGTGCGGTTGAGAACCAGTGCGACCCGTACTCACCAGGATTTCTACCCAAATTGCAATCACCAACAGTTGAAACCACATTTACGGGACCCAAGCTGCAAGAAAATTCTAAAAGCTGCCCAACTAAACGGCCCTTTGATTCAATCTCTCATTTGCCCACTGGCCACGGGGAAAAGCACCCTTTGCCTTTAAAGGGACCCCCCCATGACAAGAAGACGTTACCCTCAACATGGAACCTGACGACAAGGAAGGCTTCGGGAGACAACTTGGTTACCTCAAGGGGCCTTCTGGGTTCTACAAAGTTGTAACTCGGGTACGCTAAAAAACGTGTATTTGTCATTCGTTGTCAACCTTCTGCAAGTTGTGTTCTGAGACCCAAGTCTCCAACTCTGGGGAAGAAAGCCCATCTGTTCGAACCTCTGGCTCTCATATCGGCTGTCACAACTCAAAAACGAGTTTGTGGAAAGGGTTGGTTGTGAACAGAACAAGGGGAATGGCGCAATCGAATTGCGTGCGACTTGGCGCGAATATAGCGTTTGAGGGGGTGCCTGAGATCGATGCAAACTGCTGTAAAGGGACAACAAAATTCCGAACTTGAATAAACAGATCCCCACGTACAAATCCCCACGTAAAGGACCTACATGGTGAGCTGCGGGCAGCAAGCTGCGTCGGCTGAAGCCTACGAAACAGGTGACTCGAATGAATCAAATGCTGTTCGCCCAAGAGGTGGTTTTCGGACCCTCACTTCCTGAGTGCATTGGCCGAAAAAATCCAAACGATTTATTTCCACTAAAATGGTCTTCCCAAACAATGTAAAGTCCAGGAACTCAGGGAGTGAGGACCCATTTCCTCCTGCCTGCACTTTGGCCTTCAGCTCTTTCTGCAGGCGAAGCTGCAGGTCAGCCTCCGACCCCGAATCGCGGGTTAGGCGCTGTTGTCTGGCCAAGAGGTAGGGTTGCAACAAGGATTGCTTGCAACATGTGCTTCACCAACCAGACCCGGTTCGGTGAAAATGTCCTGACAGGGACACCAGCTTGTTTCAAGGAAACATGTGAAGTTACGTTTACACAAGCGACTGGAAAGGCTCTAACCAACCAGGCCACTCTTGTCAGGCCCCAAATAGAAACATCGTCCCCTCGTTGATGCTGAAATGGGTTGCCCACGAATCCTAAGTTGCCCACAAAACCCTCGCTGGGGCCGCTTGTGTGATAGAGCCCACCTTCGGGTTCCTCAGGCAGCCTTGCAAAATCCCCCCCTTGGACCACCCCCCTTACAAACTCCATAAAGGGAGGGTAGCTGATTCTCTTTGGCAATGGCCTAGATCTCTATTTCTGAAGCGGGAATGAACCTGCGCATCCCCTAGAAGGAACAGCAAGGGATGGTTCATAGGGGCCATGCCCCAATTCTCTTCTAAGAACCAGCAAGTAATCCCTCCCTCTGCCTGTAAATACACCCAATTCGGTGTATAGTGATTTTCCCAGAATCCAAATGTTCAATATTAAATTAGACTTGGGCAATACTGAGCCAATTCTAAAATGCCAGGAGTCCCGCCAACCCCGGCTGCATCTTATGTATGTATGTATGTATGTACGTACGTACGTTCGTACGTACGTTCCTATGTATGTGCGTATAAGGTAAACTCATTGAATATGTTATGCGATCGTGATGATACAATGCCCGAACGACATAATGACAACCATATATTTAATAGGTTAAACAGGTTGACAATATGTCTTAAACACATATACATCGATTGAATTGACACTGACAACTTGTATATTAAATGTAATATTGGCGTGGGGATAATATTGCAGAAATTTAAAAGGCTAAACGGTCACCAAGGGCCATGTGAGGGTTTTTCAGGAACAAACGGCCATGATGGTTTGGTAGCCTCGTTCAAAAGGTATAGCACGGCAACAATATGGGGTTCCAAATGTGGATGTTTCTTTTGAACCAACATCTGTTAGAGGGATCTATGCATCCCGTTCAAAAACTGGTCATTTGACCAGTCAGTGAGACTGCAATATTTCAAAGGCCCAACATTTCGGTTGGTTGCAGCGCTTAGACCACCCGACTCTAGTCTCCGTGTTCTTGGGGAGTAGGTGTGGTTAGCACACATTTGGAAATTTCAACCGGGACATGGCTGGGCCGCAATTGAGGTTCCATGCGCTAACTGGTAGTTGCTTAGGAGGGAGCCCCTGTGTCAAAAGGAGCTTCGTCAAGCCGTCGGTGGAAAACATGTTGACCAGGGCAACACCTGGCTTCAGTCGCTCCAAGGGTAGGTGACTGTCACTGTCACCGTGTCTGGGTGAATTATTTAATATTTCACCAACCTGAAATAAGGTGCTTGGGGGGGCAAACTGCAATGCGGTCCAAATTGTTTGTCTCACCCAACCGGTCAATAGCCGAGCTCCAGCATGCTGCTTTCATTTTCGGTTCCATTACCACCCAAAGCGCGTAGCCTCCCCAAACTTGGAACCTGGTACCCTTCCCTGAAAAAGGGACCCCCTGGTGTTCCATGGCAACGTGGACCAGCGGGTAGCCTCAACATTCGACACACCCAAAAGGGGAAGAGCTGACCCACCGATCCATTTGAGTTTCATCCCGCCTCCGCCAGCCGCAGCCGCGCTTGCGCCCGCCTTTGGGCCGAGCTTTCGGGCATCTCGGCCAGGTAGGCCTGGACGGACAAAATTTATCTTGGAAGCTGGGGGCAGCCCGTCGGCTGGTGGGTTTTGGTGGGGAGATCACTCTACTTAGTTTAGTCTTTGGCTAAGAAGCTTGGTCAGGAGTAGGTTGTAGGGAAATACTGCTTAGGGAAAAAACAAAAAACACAACCAGGTTTGCAAGTCACAGACTGCTTCGGCACGTTTCTTTGACCGAGGTATTTTGTTGCACTGTTCGTGTAAATGTTCCTGCATCGATCTGAGGTATGGAGGTTTTTATATACCTACATATCCATGATGTATATATATATACATATTCCAGGTGGTACATACTGACATGAACTGAAGAGAATACAGAGGTCGCTGGATTTCTCAAGGTTGCATAATTGAGGGAACCCAAAAAGGGAAATGGCTCGGAAGCCGAGTTGGTGGCCTCAAAAAGCGTTGGTTTCTGAAGGCGGGTCAGGGGTCCCAAGGAGCGCCGGTCTGCAAGTTCATATGCCGAGTCACTTGGGTTTGGACAATTTTAGTGGTTTACATAAGAAGTTTGCTTACATTTTATTTGCCCATCTACTCTGGAAGTTTGCTTATCTTAGAAACCAACGAAAATGGAAGTTCTACAGGGTTTCCTGGTTTAGTGGATATTTTTGGGCCAATTGCAGAAATTTCCTGTAGCGGGTTTCTCTGGTATAAACCATCCCTTATGGTTTCCTTTGAAGGATCGTAACCATGATTTGCCCAACTTATCATCCGGATTGCAGCCAAGAACGGACGGGGGCCCGAGACCATTGTCGGCTAATCAACATGAGTGTGTAACATAGGAAACCCACATGGTGGGTTTCCTTTTCTCACTTCCTATCGAGTGGATCAGCAAACAAAACTAACTTTGATTTACCACTGAAATGGTCCAAGCCCAAAAAGGAGTGAGGACACCAATCATGGCAATCATGGCCCCCCTCCCATCTCCCCCCCCCCCCCGCTTTGGCTTCCCCCTAAGAGCCACCCAAAAAGGGTACCCTGAAAAGACGACGAGGCACCCTGACACAAACCCTGCCGTTCATGTCTCAGTGTCGGCCACCTGGGCAGTCCAACGGAACCCCGACAACGAGACCAAGCGTGTTTGTTCTTCTTGTTTGGGGGGAAGCCTGTCGTCAAAAGTACTTGTATGTGTACGTTCTATTTTGGGGGTCTGTTTTGGGGGGGGGGGGGGGGGTCCCTAAAAAACAACACCAAGTGTTCAACATGGGTGTTTCTTGAAAAAACATAAGACTTTGACATGCTTTGACCCCTAAAAAAGAGGAACGTGTTCACTTCAAAATGAACAGACACCACATGTTCAAGCATTCAGATCTTCCACCAGCCAGGCGCCAGCTTAACTGCAACTCAAACTGCTCACAACAAATTGTTTGAACGGCATAGCTGTTGATACCCGAGCCATTCGCAAAGAAATATCGGCACGAACACAACTACAGAATTAAGCCAATTATGGTGGTCTGTGGCTTGAGGACACAAAACGGACTCCAATCATTAACGCAATGCTGTGAACCGCACGGGGGCCCTTGCATGATCATGATTCTCTGAATAGGAATCCATGTCATGGTTGTCTGAATGCTCGACTAAGGTCCACGAGCACCACTACCAACCTCGAGTACAAGAATGGCTTTGGCCATGGCACATGTGCTTGCGCCTAGCCCAGAAACCATGGATAACATAACTTGCCGCTTTTTGACCTCGAAACACAGCGTGACCACCTTCCGGGTCCCTGCGTGACAACAGTTGCTCAACATCGGAAAACAAGAAGTCGATTTAATTGGGCAGGTAAGTGAATACGACAAGAAACAAACACTCGGATGCTCTTTGACCTGAGATTCAACATTCCTTTTCTGTTGGCAATTTGCATGCGTATGTTCAACCATGGGTTGGCCAGCAACAAGTTGTCCACGTGTTCTGTCTTGGAGTCCGGGAAGAGAGCTATACCTTAGCTTTTGCAGCCGACTGTAAAATTACAAGCTTAGAGTATGTGCAAATTTCAGTGTTCCATCTTTATGATGGGAATCTACTTAGATGATGTACTATTGGAACACTGAGTCTGGAACATCCGACTGGTTATCGAAAACGCCTTCCTAGCGCACAAAAAGACAGTCATTCGAAGAGGAAGGCTGGGGCCTAGAGTTTCATGTGCAAAGCATGATTCTTTCATATGGGTGCACGTTCTTGAGGGTAATTACCCCCTTTAGACTTGTTTCAAAGGGAAACCAACGGAAAATTACCAATTGTGGTGGGTCCCCCTGAAAAAAGACAGCGCCATATTCTTTCAGCCACCGCCAGCGCCCTCCGTGAGAAGTAATTTTAACAAGGTCACGGCTCACATGTGACAGCCCTTTGGATTCACTCAGGGACCAGGTCTTCGTTTCAGGAAACCCAAAAATGGGTGTTTTGCTTTTTGTTTCCCTTTAAACCATCCCAAATCAGGTACAAAAAGACGAGCCACCCTTATTTTCGCCACGCGCCCGGCGCCCGGCGGAGCGCGGGCGCCTCCCGTAGCTGCTGCCAGGCAGGAGGCAAGCCCTCGGCCAGCACCGAGGCTCGTCCTGATCTGACCCTCGGACCCTTAGCGGTTGTTTCGACCACTGCTTAGACTGGGCTGTCCTCAGATCACTCGCTCAAAGCTTACCCTTTAGCCGGGTGAAATGGGAACAGGTCTCCCACTGAAAGTGACTCGCTTTGAGTGGGTGAAAGGGGAACTACCACTAAACACCAACAAGATCCAAAAAGCAAAAGGAACCGGATGGCCGGGAACCACCAAGCAGACCAGTTGGTACCGATTCGCCGTGGGCTCCGAGGACGTTAGAATTGATCCATTTGTTCGTCGGTTTCTCGCGGACGGCTTCGTGGCTATCGTTTTCTTGATGTTAAGGTCTGACTTGGTGGCAAGTTGTGTGTTCTTTTGCGGCAATCGGGTTCAGAAAACACCCCACTTGGGGGTTTTGGCAGGTCCCTATTCCCTATGAGACGATCCCAGTAGGTTGACTACTTTGTCGGTTGAACATGTCAAGATTTGCAGGGAACAATTTGAGAACCCATTGGATCTTACGATGGTTTGTGGTCAGGTTATACAATGGTTTGATTTGGCCATTAGGCTCTCGGACAACAGCGGAGGTGTGCCTAATCACTGCGAACATACAGATGGTTGATGGGTTGTGGGTGAAGCGGAATTCCCAGACAGGACTGACTGAAAATTGGGAATGCCCCAACATCACGTGGCCCGAGCTCAGCTTGTCCCTGCATCGAAGAAACAACATTGGTTGATTTTATTTCAAACGGTTCTATCAAAATTGACTAGACACAGCGCACCGTTCCATCCGTCAATCTGGAGACACAACAAGTTCCCAAAATAGTAGTTTACGGTTCCCCGAACAGTTGTTTTCTTGGCTTCCTTGCCACCTGCAATTCAAAAAGAACAACAACTGACTATATTGTTGGTGGGTTCCAACAAAACTGCCACTTGGCCATGGGTCCAAATCCCGTACCCCCAGTGAACATCCCAATCCCCACTAAAATAGACTAAAATGGGTGGTGCACCTACCCCAAAATGGTACTATTGGTTTTGACCCACTGCCACTTTTGGAGAGTCCCCATCCCAATCAAAGACCGCGCCTCGCCAGCTCTCGCCGTGCGCCAGCGCCAAGACACGGCGCCGCGCGGCCTCCAGGCGCCGCCACGCCTGCAGCCCCGCCTGAGCGCTGGGCGTTGGACACGGAGTTGCCGTGGCTTGAGCGCGTTCATCTGGGTGAATTATAATATTTCACCAACCTGAAATAAACAAGGTGGTTGGGGGGCTATTCCCCACATAAACCACCATTTGGGGTGAGGTCGCGTGAGGTCGTTATAATTCACCCAGATTCATTTATTACCAGGGGACGGTGGATCAACCACAAGAGGATCAAAGGGACAATCACCAGGGACTGTCATCATTTCACTGTGGATCAATATGTTCAACCAGGGGACAAGATTCTAGTCCTTGTTTTTTTTGCTGGTGCGAGAGATGCAGGGAATGAGAAATGGAATGACCCTCACAAATGCCATCCAACTGGTGGTTTCCTCTAAGAGGACCCCTCGGCTCGTTCCCACATTCCCTACTGAGCGCCAGCAAGTTTTGTAGGGCTCCCTAGATTTCCCTGCAAAACATCACCCTCAAGGGATACTCACTGTTTAAAACTGCCAAAAAGGGAGGGGAACGTGGGACAGTCCCTTAATGCTTTAATTTAAGCCGGCGGGAAGAGCAGCACTTTGGACATGTGTGTACTAAGTTTAATCCAAACGACCCATGTTTAGTCTCGACCACCCCCCCCCCGAATGGGAACATAGTGACCCTTCTTGGGCGGCTCGAGAGTCGGAGAGGTTGCCTGCCTCAAGCTGTGAGAGGCGGTAGGGCGGCGAGGTCAACGACACGCGGCTCCAGGGGATCCTGGCTCCCGGTTTTTCTGAGTCCCCTTCGAGTTCGCGTTGCGTGAGGAAATGGGTATGCGTCAGCAGGGATTTTGGACCCCCCCAAACAAAAAGACGAAGAACAGTTCGCTTTGGTTTCCCGAAGAACAAAACACCATAAGAAACTAATGATGTTAACCCCGGATGAATACACCCCTGGTTGAGTTTGATCGGGGTACCCCTGGGAATCCGGATCGCTTTCGTGGGTGCGTCTAGCTTGGAAACGGTCTGGATGTGGCGAATCTGTGGAACCACCCCTGCAGGATATTACAAAAGAATCAACCAAGGGAAGAACAGGTGAAATCCACAAAACGCGCATCCAAATCGTTGTCTAGCAGGTCCAGCTTCCGCTCCTTGACGTCGTAGTTGGACATTAGGGGACCCCCAAAATGGTTGGCGTCCCTTTGGTCTCCCTTTAAACCAGCCACAAAAAGGGAACCCGCAAAAAAAGACACACCCATCTCCTCGCCTGCGGTCCAGGCGGTCGGATCTCCGCAAGTCCCGTCGGCGATGTGGGTTGGGGAAGTGAAAGATGGGGAACTGAAAGAAAACCATTTTGGCCAACCCGCAACAGCTAACCCTCACTTTCGGAGTGGATTGGCCAACGCAAGGCTTTCTGTTTGCCACTACGGTCTTGCCCAAAAAGGTTAAAGCCCATGAACTCGGGGAATGAGAATTCAGACCAGGCAAGCTAAGTCAAATGATCCCAAACTTTGCCGCCTTTTTGAGCTTCACATTCAAAGGTCAGATAAATGACAAATCCTTGGTGTGCATTGCACAGGCTCTTGCACACCCCCAACCCAACTCAGCCCAGCCTGATGAGGATTACCTCGGAGTGTGGACACGGCAATCTGGATCCCCAACACCCCCAAGGGCCCAAGGGCCCTCCCCCTATTTTTTGAGGTCTTTAAATGTCAGCCCAGGTCTTGGGCTAGAGGGCTCCCTTGCGCTCCGGATGATGAACTGCTCCACTTTGGAGAACTCCCTTTGAAAGGCCCAAGCTGATGCTGCAACATGTGGCTGCTGTGCGAGCCGACGGGAGTTTCTCTAGCAAAAGAGTGTGTGCGTATGTGGCCGCTTGTTTGGGTCTGTGTGTGTGTGTGGGTGTGCGTGCGCGTGCGTGTGCGTGTGCTTGTGTGTGTGTGCGTCATCTTTGCCCTTGTGTTGGGGCCCGCTGGGCTTTGCCCAAAAGGTGCCCCTTTCAGGTGCCTCCTTGAAGAGGAAGTCGAAGGACCAATGGAGGGGCTCCCCCTATTTTTCCCAGGCGAATCTCGGTCTGGTCTCTCCATCCTTCCAAACTTTAGGGTAGCAAAACAACCCTTCCAAGAGCGAGGGCTTCTACACTTGGGGTCCCAATGGAACACAACTGCACCAATCGAATTAGACACCAAAACACCTGAGGCACCCGAGTCAGAATCAAACCGATCGGTACTAAAATAGTTCACTCAGAACAATGTAATGAAACTAACAAGCAGCACCCATTTGGCTGGGATTACCCACCTTCATCTACCTGAGCTTTGATAGTGTCTCACCTGAGGGAGCGGCGAAAAGGTTCAATTTGGAGCCCGCAACCCAAACGATATCTTTGGGTTACAAAAGCACCCTTCATCTCTTTTGTGTCATAATTGAAACGTTGAATGTCCTTCAAAGGAATCCCGCTCCGTAAAAATGGCTTTCCATTTACTCTCTACAAGAACCAGGGGTTCGAACCTCCAAACCACCACTCCAAACCAAATACCCACGTGCGGACCTCCGGATTTGGGCCCCCCGCAAAGCGCAGGCCCATCTGCGGGTTGCCGGCCTCGGCCAAGCTCTCGCGAATCGCCTGGCCGCGTGCTTTTGGTTTGCGGGTCAAAATGTGAGCATGCCCAACATGTAAAAAACAACAGACAAGCCACAACGTCGCCCAACAAATAGTGGCCCAACCAGTAAAAATAATCGCAAATCAATCATGAGGGCTGCGATTGGGACTCTAATGTGCTCACTCGCTGTATTTTGATGACGGCCGCACTTAGAATACGGAACGAGTTGGAATGACCCCAAACTTATCAATTCAATTGGTGTAGTTTTTGTTCAAGTGGATCCCCTTCCAGCCCTGGTTCCAACCAGGACTTACCCTACTTGGCGTGCAGCCAACAACCCTGGCTTATTCTGTCGATGGACAAAATCAGCGGGTTGTTTACCCCATCATAGGGCTTCATTCATCCATCCCTGCAGGATTTGGTCTATCCACAAGACCCAGGAATTGCCCAGCCCACTTGGAGCACGTAACCAGGGTTCATGACCACATACCTAGGGTGGTCAGCCAGAAGAACCCGCAGCACCCGCCAGCCCCGGGCCCTGCAGGCCCAAGCGTCCAAGCGGTTTGTCCCTGCAAGAAAAGAAACTGAAGATCTCACTTCCCGGGAATCGACCAGAAACCGCTCAAACTTTGCGCTGACATCATGCCTAGCAAAGAAGCACAACATCTAGAATCATTGGAAGTGCAATTCCAGAATAAGCCCCCGGTCCAGAATCAAAGGTATATAAAATCGACCCCGTGCAATGCTCATTTCAATAACCACAAGGTTGATGAGTGTTGCGTCTTTGGGCCAGTGGCTTCTCGCGCGCAATAGTGTGGCTGCAGAGACGCGAGCAGACTCGGGCGTATCCTGCGAAGGTCACTGCGCTCCGAAAGGAATCCCACTGATTGAAGGGAACCCCTTGACAAATGTGCGCGGCCATCCAGGTTATGAACCGTCCCCAAGAAGCAAGTCAAAACAAACCAATCCACCCCATATCTATCTCAGTTTTTCACGCTGATTAAACAAAACAAGTGCTGGTAGACGTTTGCCAAACCTTGAAACGACAATTAACGTCAAGCATTCAGCGCAATGCAGCATCCAATCTTTTCCTTACCAGGTTCTGCTGCACGGCGTGACTAACCGTAAGTGCGTTGGTAGCTTTACATGAGCCCCAGACTGGGGCGGCCTGCAACTAGGCCCCAGGTCCCTGGACTGTCTAGTCCACCTGACCCGCACCAAGCATGCGCACGTTCGCATCAGTCCCAGGGAGTGCGCCTGCCCTACCTCTGCCTGCCAGAGACACCAGCTCAAAAGCGCTTGTCTTCGCACGGTTCGTCACGTTGACGTTAAGCCTTTGCGCGAAGGGCACCTTGGAGGAGAAAGGCAATTCTGAAAGATAGGGTGGAAAGGGAGATGGACATTTTGGCCTCAAGCCAGAATGGCCCATTACGCCTATGAATGAATGCAGCTCACCCACCTGCCCGTGCACAAAGCTGGCAAAGATTTTCCAAGTAAAGTTTTCTTTTGGCTCAAACCTGCCACTTGCTATTCCCAAGTCTTTCTCCTACACCTCCAGCCCAACCTCTGGCCGCTGTTCCAAGGTTCGGCATGTTCGGCACTCCTTTGGGTACGTGAGATCCAGGGTTGATCCTTCGCAGGTTGATCGATGTTCCACTTGGTTCAAGCTCCGTTCCCCTATGCGCACTAAACCCAGGTAGAATCACCCTATTGATCAACTGGGGTTTATTAATCCGGGGCTAACATCAACCATCTTCCAGATGCTGAACTGAATATGGTTTCGTTATGATTTTGTTTTCCCCTGTTGGTTGTAAAGATAGTCTATCACTTCTGAAATGATTTTCCCTTTTGTGCCAGAGGTCTCAATGACTGATGCTGCCGAAACTCGGTGGCAACCCCACGGTTTCGCTTCACCGCGCCCCGCGCCTCGCCGAAGCGCGCGAAGTCCCCCGCCACTTTGCGGCGCACGTTGCGCAGCACCTCCCCGTGCCGCTGCGCCGCCTATCGATTGGCGCTCTCACGGCAGGTTTTTCCGCTGGGAATCTGACGGGACTTTGCAGATGGGCAGTTTGGTTCTTAGAGGCTTTCGAAGCACTGATGCCCTAAAAGTGTTCTAACTGTTGGTGGGTTCAATGGAAACCCAACCACAAAAGCCTAAAAAGCTCAAAAACACAAGGGGAAGGCTGAGAAGTGTTGTTGTTTCTTCAGTGGATCCCAACTGGTTCCTTCCCAAAGACTCCGGTCGTCCTATGGAGGTCCACATGCCTTGCATAGGTTCGAGCACCTCCAAGACCCACACCTAACCCGCGCCAGGCCTTCGGGTGAAAACATCAGCTGATTTCGATCTGATCCTACGGATCGGCTGAGCCGGCGAAGGTGACAAACACGGCGAGTCAGGCCAGGCCAAAGGCGAGCACTGGGAGGCCTGGACACCTTTCTCCACCATCGGGACGGGGGGTGCTCTGGTCCTTCATCACCGGGGCCAGTCTTAAGCAATGCCAAAAGTGGGCGGCCCCTTTAATAGGGTTGCCCCTCCAACAAGAAAAAACATGCAAACCGCAAACCGGCCCTCTGCAAGATCAGGGACCCTCTCTGCCTGGGGCTCCGTGATAGTTTTTGGGAGGGTTCCCGTTTGACCCCCCTTTTCACGGTTGAACATGACCCTTTCATGCTCCATGATGGTTTTTGGGAGGCTTCTCTTTTGACCACCCAGAAAAGTAAGTCGACCCTCATCCCGTATTTCTGGACATGTCAAAACATGCAATCCTTGCGATGGGAGGGTCATGCGACCGAATCAGATTGTCATTATACAACCCCAAACAACCGACCGGGCAGCTTCTGGCGAGAAGTGTGGCGATACTTTTGGCAGGGCCCTGTTGGTCCACTATAGTCGTTCATCGTAAACGTCACCAAAGCTCCATTTTTTGGAAGGGGCACCGTCAATGAGCCGCTACCGCTCCTGTCCCCCAGCCCATTGCTCCAATGTCCGGATCATGCTTGGGGAAATGAATCCACGCTCAGATTGACTGATCTAACGAACGTTGATCTGGGCTTCTATTGCAGACCTCCAGCAGCATTCCTTCAATGGAGCGTCAATGCATCCAAGCAGGACAAAGCTTTACAAGGAAGTTGTTGAACATAAACAATGCTGGATGGAAAATGTCAGCTCAGGAACCGTTCGCAGTACTGTAACTTGTTGTTTCAGACTCCAACCGCACAAAAACTGTTCAACACAAATAGAAAGCGGGTTGGTAACTTGTACCTGGCCAAATCTGGGGATAGCTATATACATTTGTTCTCAGATTCTCGTCCATATTTAGCCCATTCGTCTGCTGTCGATGTACCATCAAAAACCAACAAACCCATGTGCAGGTGATACCCCAACAAAACCCTCTGGAGCCCTCCATGAAACCTGCCCCAAAACCCCACCGCTTCTTTGGGCCTATCGACCCCAAAGCTTGCAGCTGTCGGGGGGAGGGGAATTGTTCGGAGACCCTCGTGGGTTTTGTTGGCCGCCCCTGGGCTGCCTTTTTTTTCAACAAATCCGCGCGCCTCCAAGCAACGCTCCGTCTTGGACAGCATGCGCACGATGCCCATGTGCTGCTGCGCCGCCTCGGTTGTGGAGAGAGTCCAACTTGCAAGGGAAAACGACGAGACAAAAACACACAGGAAACACCCCAAGTGGGTTTTATTATTTTTTAGGGACACGAAATGGTGGACAGCTGGGATTTATGTCCACCGATGTCCACCAATCACTTTTCAGGGGTTCACCATTAAACTCCATAGCCAAATTGAGGGGTCCCTCCAAGGCGGGCTTGGTGGCTTTCTGTTGGGGTTCCCAGAAAACGTCCCAAGTTCTTGGGAATGCATGTCAAAGGATTTGTCTAAACAAAAGATTCTGACCGCAGGATTTCTGGGGACACTTTTGTCCCCCCTAATAAACATGAACTTGATCCTGAAAGAAAGGGCAGCGGTTCTTCCCATGGCGACTGAGCAAGGATTTACCTTCCACGGGTACCACTGCGTGTGTTTGATGTCCAACTCTTGATCTCTGTTCGAAGATTGACATCTTTGAAACATCATGCTTCAAACTCTTTGGGCCTCTCATGGATCACTGGATTTCCGCTTCACAAGTTGATCAACTTACTGGTGGTGAACTCCCGCTTTTGGAGAAATGGCTCCGACACCCTGGCTTTGCCAAGGTCGCTGGGGGTTGGAATCTTCTTGCGTGCCCATGCTCAGAACCCGTCGAACATCTGCTCGGGGAAGCTCTAGGCAAAGAATGTTGGCCACACCTTGAGGAAAGTCCAGCAACAGGTTCTGGCGCCCAAGATCTATACCCGGAAACATCGATCCAACATGGTTCAAACAGAATTTGGGCGCAGCTGGCAAACCACCAACGAGACCAACGAGGCGATTGTGTGGCGGCACGTCCTCTTATGTCCTCTTCTCCAGAGCTGCTGAAGAAGTTGGACAACAGCGGACAAGATTTGGAGATTGAGGCCATGAGTCAAATGGAAATGCGTTTTTGGGTGTCTTAAAACAGGGGAACCCCCCAAAACATGGCGGTTTCCCATTTGGTTCCCTTTAAGTAAACTCCAAAAGGGGTACCCTCAACAAAAGACAGACCCATTTCGTCACAAGGCAGCGATTCACTTCCCTGTCTCCGGCCGATTCCGGTTTCGTTTCCAAAGGCCTTCCCAGAGTTGACCCCTCCAGGCCCTTTCCACAGAAAATGGTCGCCAGGCAGCCAGGCACCTCTATAGGGCAGCTGCTTCCTGTGCCTTGTTTTTGCATGCTTGTTTTGAAGGCGGGCCAACCTTTCCAAGCAACCACATCCTCCATTGTATTGAGCCTCCCGGAAAAAATGACAATATTTCCAATGGTGAGAGATTCCCCTTAAAACCAACACGGAGAATTGAAACATATCTGTAAGCAAATGGAAGAATTGTCTGTCTGATCTGGAGACTTGCCCCTTGTGTCAAGCGCCTGCCTCAAAACGAGCAGCCCTGGCAAAAGCCGACTCGGTCGCTGGCATAGTAGCAAGTTCGCTCCTGCGAGAGGCTGACTTGGAGCATATTGGGCGCGCCACCCTCAAACAAAGGACCCGAGACCAAGACAGGAGCATTCTCTCGCGCGAGAGGCCGTACCTGGTGGCGCCATGACTGGAAGCTCCGTCTCGTAAATCGCGACTCATAATCCGTACAAGTACACGCAGTTTCACTTGGTTTGGCAGCCCTATCTCAAAATCTAACTGTTCAATACAAGCGCGGAATCGGCTTCCCTTGGCAGCTCCAGCTCCAGAAATCGCAACTCTTCAGCGCAAGTGTAGCACGGCAAATACCTCGGCAGCCCCAGCTCGGAAATCGCACCATTGCAGTAGAAGTGTAGCACACTTTCGCAGCTCCAGCTCAAGGATCGCGGCTTGTTGGTTCAACTGTAGCATACCCTTTCCCTCAGGGTGTAGCTGGATCTCTTCAAGCAAAGCCTCAAGCGAGCATTCGGGACAAAGGCGATGTAAACACTACATATGAGTGTGCATTGAAACTGAACTGCCGATTCTTTGACCAACCACTTTGAAGGTGGTTGCCCACAGAAATTAATGTGTCAACCTGACTTATTGATACAAGGATGCACGTATTCAAGGGATGGAGGAGACCGACATTGCCGAACGCTTTAAGTCATTGTTTGGTGTCGTAGGAACGACTCAATCATCGCCGTATACAACACTTTTTCTCAGCACGCATAAATGGTGTGCCTTGGTTGTGCAATCAACAAACAACATGGTGTGCATCGCGGGTAAGACATGTCAATTTTGATGCCAGTTTATACATGCATGTATATATACACATCGTATGGATGTGAGCAAGCAACCATGGTGTCTCCTTTGAGGGCGCAGTACCCTTTGAGACTCATTTCAAGGAAAGCCGAAAGGAAGCTATTTCAGGAAATGCCGCTTCAAACAGAGACGGCCCGCAGTCCCATGTCTCTCTCAGCCGGAATGGCTCACTAAACGTTTCTTCCAAATCAACCGCACCACGATCAAATGGTCCGAGAGCTTGGTGAGGATTGTCCCATTCAACCCATAGCTCCTCTCACTTCCTGGGTGAAATGTCCAAACTTTTTGCTGCTCAAATGGGAGCGTCTCAAACCCAGAAAGGGATTGTGTCCTTTGGGTAATCAAAACCACCCAATGGGTCCGTTTGGAGAACCCAAATGTCCCATTTTGAGAAGAACCGCAAGCCCAAAATGCAAACAGGGGTCCTCAATCTGGAACCTCACCCGCCCTTTTTGGGCTCGAAAAGGCGATGCGTAAAAATAATACGGGCTCAACCGTGTGCCCCTGGGGTAATATATATATATATATATATATGTATATATACACATGTATTGATATATAGATAGCACATGTGCTTCTGTTCTTTATCAATGCTCCATGTATATAGACGTGCGTATTCTCGTCTACAGACGTCTACATCAAGGGCACCGTTTCCCGTTCAACAGGGATCCTTCATTTCGGCGGGCGGGACATCCCCCTACAAATCTGCAGGGCTTCTGAATGTGTCGACTAATGCCAGAAATTCATGGCCAGGCTAGTGGACCTGCACAATCTTTATAAGGCTGAGGGACCCACCCCTACCACTCAGAATGGCTCTGATAAGAAGCCGTTGGATCAAACAGTTGCATCTGCACCTTTCTTGGGGTGGCCGATCCTTGTTCCCCAATCGAGTGAAGCGCAGTTGCCTCCTACTCAAATCCGTCCTTGCCCCGGAAGTAGCGCACAATGCCGGGCAAAGCAGAAGATGGCTGCATTGCAGGCCTGGCCTGTCACGCAACGAAAACGTCGGCGTCCAAGCCGCATCTTCCTCTTGAGGCTCTTGGGGTTTGGATCCGTCCCAAAGATCTAAGAGAACTCCCTTCCAAAAACAACAGCACTCGTGAACCTGGAAATCCAGACCACAAATAAAACCGGAAAGGTGCAACATTAAAAACCAAAAATCCATCAACAGGACCAACAGCCGCCAAGCAGCGGAACATTCTTTCACGACCCCCATGGCTGAGGGTTTTTCGTGCTTGAGTTTCAGGGACGCCCTCTCCAAACAAATAAAACTGGAAGCATGGCGGGCAACTGGCCCACGCTTCCCGGTACGTCCGCGGCCAACAAAAAGGAGCCGCCGACCCGGAAACCCCCCGCCTTCCGCTTTGCGGCCTTGGCCTGTCCGGGCAGAAAACATCTCAAAGCTCGGCAAACCGAAAGTACCTGGTTTGGGTGTTAAAGTAGTAGGGGACCCTTTGATGGACATCACTTCTGCGTTTATTCATGTCCAGCAGCCACCAAAGTCATGTCCATTTTCCCGGGTTTTGGGGTGGGATGTGGTTGGTTCGCTTGCAACAGGGGAATCAACCACCGTGCCAAGCGCCGAATGCGCTTCAGAGCCGTACCAAGCGGCTGCCTTGTGTGAGACCCATAGCATATCATCTTTGCCCTTTTGAGGCTGCAAGAGACCTGAAATCTACAAAGAAGGATGGTGGCTTCACTCATGTTGATGCGACTCAAACTCAAGGCATGTGAAAACCCACAGAAACATATAGGACTATTGGAAAGTTCTATCTTAAGCCGTCATAACCATGTCAATGTCTTCAGAGTTGGCCAGGTCATACAGTGTGATGTTGGGTTTATCCGATTATTTTTGCGGTCGGCCGGGGCGTCGGAAGCCCCGGCAAACCCATCTTTTGGTCGGAATATAGGTCACTTGCTTGGAAGGATCCTCGGGTGCATTCGGACAACAGTTTGCGTGTGTACTGAAGTATGTGTGTACTTCTTTTTGACCGGGCTGCGCGCTCATTTCATTCTCCTTGTAAGGCATTAGCGTGCGTGCTCATAAAGGTTGATGAAGGTGGTGTCCTTGCTCCAAGTTGTCCGGGGTCCCTTCAGTTGAAAGGTGTCGTGCTTGTGTAGTTGCGTTCCAGTCCACTCGGCTGGTTCTACACCATATAGGAGCTTGGATTTAACATTAGCGCATCTTGCACTAGCAGTTGGAAGCACCCATGTATCTTAACCTTGGCGTATGCGGGTGTGTCGTCAAATTTCACTGATTATGACATGTCCACCGACCATTTGGCAGGGGATTCAGTCAAAATCATAGCCATCCCGTGCAATTACTATATATAGTTCACGGACCAGAAGAGGGAATCCTCCATAAATCTTTATGCGGAACCGAATCCATGGTTTCGCATCAAGGTGAGCTCTTTTGGATATGGGTGGGGATCCCCAAATTGTGGTCTTTGTTTCTTCGTTTGCAACCAACCAAAAAAGGGGTACCAACTCCAGAAAAAGCACACCCATATTAATCATGCTGTCCAATAAGTCCTGAACCTGAAACACAAATTGGGTCATCCGCTGGTTCTACAAACCCTATCGGTGGAGTGCTTGCCCTGATATCCTCAGAACAGTGGATCCCTTTTTGTGTGGTAACCCACCATTTTTGGGGGGGTCCTAATTTAAGAAGCACTGAACACCCAACCAGTTTCGGGCCCACACCCACGCAACTCTGTTGCGCCTCGTGCGGCGTTGACATTCGCGGACGCCGCGATACAGGACGCGACCGGCTCGTCTGGCCAGGGGCGCAACAGAACTGCGCCGTTTGTTTGGAGAACCCTTTGGAACACCCAAATTAAACCTGTTCTCGAGGCAACTGGTGTTGGGAAACCTCTTTTTTTTGGTCTCCAAGGAAACTCAAAGGAACTGAACCGAAAGGAAACCAGCCATTTTGGGGTTCCCATAACTTTGGGACACTCCAATCGAGTTCACTTCCTGAATGGTCGGAAAAGGGTCCGGATTTGTTGGTTAAGAGGCCCCCCGAAAAAAGTTTGGAGTCCAGAAACTGGGGAAGTGAGGAAGCTTGTAATATGGAAGTGTCGTTTTCTGAGTGCACCGTTCTTTTGGTCGCTTTAAAAGGAAACACACACACAAACACCACTCTCTTTGTTGGCGGGGGGTGCGGGGTCCCCGAAAAGACAAGGTTAACCTTTTGGGGCCATTTCTAAAAATGGATCAGAAAGGGGAAACTAAAAGGTCAAAAGGTCGATTCGCTTTGGGTAAGTGAGAAAAACAATTCATTTCCTTGACTACTGTATCACTGGGGGGGCAACCCCTTGGCTCACGGAAAATAGGTGTTTACTTGTTGAGGGTACCGTGTGCTTAGGGAAACCAAAATAAAACTACCCATTTTGCGGGTTCCGATTTCGTTTTTAAGGCATAAATACCCGGTGTCCCTCAACCCCAACTTGGGGTTCACTACATTTCCCCGCACATCAACGCAGGAAAACCCATATAAACTCAGCCGGACCAAAAGGTGTTCAAACCAACCCAAACCTCCATTTGCTTGTCCGCCCCCAGGAAAAAGACACATAAAACAAATCCTTGCAATCGAAGAAACAAAAGAAACACAATTTTCCCTTTAAAACCAAGAGGGGAAAGAAGACATGTTCATAGTCATAGATTCCCAAACACTGCAAACAACGCGCATTCTGAAGCAAATGAAAGCAACGGGTTTAGGCAAAGGGAACCCCTGAAAAATTGGCAGAGCATCGCCTCCCGGGAATTGGCCAGGACCCAGCCTCGGAAGGAGTGGTCCCCAAGTCATTTGGGGATGGCTTCCCCATGTTTTGTTTAAAGGGCATTGGTGGGGTTTCCTTGTGATCTTCCTCTAAAACTGGTTAGACACACAAACATGTTTTTGAGCCAGACAATTCAGAAGGAAACTTAGAACTGCAAGCTTGCGAGCTTCAGGAGCCCATCTGCCACAATTCCAGTGAAGATTTGAGGTACATGTCCTTACCTGCTGTGGTGGTGACTAGATTCTCAAATGGGAACTGAGCGGTAGTGGACGCAGTGTCTCACGTTGGACGAAAATCCCAGGGCCAAGATCAGGCGAACACTCGCGGGGATTGTCAAAATGAGGAGGCCTTGTACCCTTGAAAAGGCGGCACGCATCGGTGGCAGCAAGGCAACTCCCCGCCAGGAGTCGCCAACATAAGTCTTCAAATAGTTGTTAATGTCGGATCAATGGGACAGGGTGCTCAGCGGGGGGAGGTAGTCGAAGGTGGCCGCTCTGCGGGATTGAGGACGGTGCGGAAATCGGAATTGAAATCACAGGCTTTTTGTGCGGGAAAATAGTTCTGCCGAACGCGCTGTAATATGAGGGGCGGCGCTTGTTTACTTTTTCGGTGACACGCGCGAAATGCTCCCGTTCAGCTTCTCTCTAGTTGCCTTGGATTGGTTTGGAGGTGTGGGTGTTGAAACCCTCTAGAACTGGGGGTTCAAATCCGTCGCCAATGCAAACCAATTTAGTATCTCAAGCCGTCGGCTCCCCTCCGATGTGGCTTGGCCAAAAAACAAGTCCAAGAACCCCCTCATATGGCTGTGGGTCAAAACTATGTACCCAAAATGGGTTGCCCTGGGAACTGGAAACCAGGACTCAAACCTGCGGTCCATATCCTGGTTTCATTTTGACCCATACCCACATTCCACAAATGGCCCATGGCCCAAAGCGACCTGTCACCGGATCTCAGCAGATACGACGAGAGCGCTCCGAAGGCCCCGGCGCTCGAGGGCTCGGCGCTGCTCCGCGGAGAAGCAACGCCTCGGAGCCACGGATCGAGGAGACGTGGCGAGCGAATCGGGGAGATGCGTGGAGTCCCACCCCAAGAAGAACCTTCCAAGTGGTGGTTTCCCTTTTAAGGGGGGTTTAGCCCACTGCTGGAAGTTGGGGATTGTCGGTGGAAAAAGCAGGGGGGTGGTGCTGCTAGGCAATCAGTTGCTATAAATATATATGTATATATATATATATATTTCAGTTTACATTTTAGACTGGGGATCGGCTTGTGGGAATGGGAATCGTCTGTGATGGGGGTCTATGGTCGGGAGAGCCGGGACAAGCCTACGATAAGCCCTTGAAGGCTCATTAACAGCTTAATTTGGCCAAAAAAAACATAGACAAATGTGTGGAGGTCCCCATCTTTGTTTGAAACATGGCATCAACGATTTAATATCATTTCAAGGCATCCAAAAAGGCATTCTCTTACATCTCTCGCGTTCGTTTGGTGCTCTTGATCTGTTCTTTTTTGTTGTCATCTGCGTGTTCCTTGTTGTGTTTCTGCTTCTCGGCTGGAGGTTGGTTGGTCGGTGAGTCGGTGGGTTCAGCAATCGATCGTCCGCGAAGCTTCTAACCTCATGTGACAAGAGCTGATCCCTAGAACCAGGTGAAACTCCAAAGAACATACGAGGCACGGTTCAAATTTGCTGTCCCATTACGGGCATGGGAAACTTTGCTTGCCCCAGAAGAGTCGACCTTGAAGAGCGACAAGCCGATGGAAATTCAAAAGTCGACCCTGGATTTGTCAAATCCTGGCGGCGAATTAGGGCGCGCGTTGCCCCAAAAGTGATCCGGTTCCCCCTGGGTTCATGTTGACTTTTCTTGGGGCGCGTTCCCCCAAGAAGACCAAACAAAAAAACCTGGGGCACGTTCTTTTGGATTTCCCTTGGGTTCCCCTCGGAATGTGACCCCATGTGGCGCGATGTTCCGACTCGACTGGGCCAAGGCTCTCCAGCACCTCCCGGCGCCGCTCCGCCGGCAACTGCCGCAGGAGCCTGCGGAGAGCAAAAGCAGCGTGGCACAAAGTTGACCCTAGTTGACTTTTGTTGGGGGGTGTTCGTTTTAGTGGGGTGTCACTCCACTTTTGTGGGTCCTGTTGGTTTCCCTTTCGACCATCCCCAGAAAGGGACCCTCATACAACGTATCCCCCTTTATTTGGGTGTGTCTTGTTTTGTGGTCCCCGTGCTTTTGTGTCTTTAAGGGAAACCACGAGGAACACCACCATTTTGGGGACCCCCCAACCAAAAAAACGACACGCCCATTTCAGGAACCCAACGGCAAAAAAAAACCGTCCTCCAGAGATGATCTGCAGTGCCCTGGCGCGAGGCTGTTCGGTTCAGTTCCGTGCAAAAAACTGACGACGTGGGAGGAAATGGAGGTCTCAGACCATGGGCATGAATTTTGTTTAGGGATCCGAAATGGTGGACATCATTTGGGGTTTTGTGTCCACCAGACACTTTCTAATTCATGGCCATATTGAAAATCCCTGACGGGTTCCTTTTAATTTCTCGTTTGAACACAGCCCAAAAGAAAGACACATCCATACAGCGACCTCTAAATAAGGCGTCGTTCCGTTCCTGACATGTTGACCACGTCTGTGAGTATGTTCCTCTCTCAGATGTTCGTGGTGTTGGTGCTCGTTGCTACGCAACAGATCACTTCCTTGCAATTGCGTTCCAGTGCAAAACATGCATACAACATCTTGTGCCAGCTCAGCATTCGATCCAGATGCGTGGCATAATGATGGTGCTTATGGGACTTCTCCTCACCGTACGCTTGCTTAGGATGCAACTAACACAGATAGGCGATGATGGCCTCGAGCAAACTTGCGCAAGCTGATTCCCGGTTCATGGACGATCTCAGCATTGCGCTGGAGCTGACTCCTAGGGCAGTGCCTCGGTCCGAGTGCACCAGGTCAAAAAGGTTCTAAGCCCTCCATTTTTACGGTGCCTTCCCATACCACCTGTTTTTCCGCGTGCCGAGGCGTCACGGTCGGGAACAACGCAGCCCTTGTTGTGTAAAGGGAACCCTCCTGGAAATGATCCGGTTGGGGAATCTCGGCTAACTCAAAGGGGCAACGAGCCCAAGAGGAGCGTGAGCAAAATGACCGCCCCGGCCGACAAAGCAGGGGGTCCGGACAAGCTTAAACAGGGTCAGTCTCGTTGTCTCCTGCATTGTCTCTTCGGACGGAAATAAAGCATTTCGGGATATTTACTTCTTGAGAAGCCCTCAACACAACCAAAGTGCATCATGAATACAACCACTGTCCCAGTGAATCCAGTCGAGTCGCTATAGGCCAGGATCAAGTACCCTTAGTAAGAAGTACATCGGAAGGTTCTTGGAACCTTAGGTGCCTTCGGTTTTCTTTTGGGGCAACTCGAATGTGTGGAAGTCACTGCGCATGTTGGGCCTGCCTCTCACCGTGCCTCCATGGAAACCTTGAAACGCAAGCTTTTTTCAGAAAGGGCTTCACGTGGGTGTGTTTTTGGATGCCACGAGAGCTTGCTTTTGGTTGATTACGTGCGGGCGACCGGGTGGTGGGTTTAGGGTGCGTTGCGGGTGGTTCAGGGTAGGAGTTTGGAGTGGCGTAGGGTTGGTTGAGTTCAGGTTTGATGTCGTGTCGTTGGGGAGGGCTTGGGTTGGAATTTGGGTGTACGGGATTCAAGGTAGGTCCAAGGGTGGGCTTGGGGTGGGTCTAGGGTGGGAGAAGGGCTTGCGGGGTGTTAGGGATGGTTCAAATTAGGTTTGAGGTAGGTTTAGGGTAGGAGGGTGGGGGGTTTAGGGTTTGGGGGCTTAGGGTAGGTTTGGTCGGGCTTATGGTCAGTTACTTAGGTGTAGGGTGTTTTTTTTGTTTGAGGTATTGGGGGAGGGGAGGGAGGTGATGTGAGTTAGGGTGAGTTTAGGACGGGCTTGGGGTGGGTGTAGGGTGGGTCTAGGGTTGGCTTTAAAATGGCGGGGGGGGCTAGGTAGCTTTTGGGCGGTCTTTGTTGAGCAAATGCTGGCTGGCTGGCTGGCTGGCTGGCTGGCTGGCTGGATGGCTGGATGGCTAATCCAGCGGGAAATAGTCCTTCAACAATATAACACTTCTCAAAATGGTCAGCCCCTGTTTTGGTGTCCAAAGGGAAACCAGCCAGTTCTAGGGTCCCCGAATCTAAAGCCCAGCCATACTCCCCTCGGAATCTTTCCAGGGATCCGCCGAACTGCGCAGAAACTCCTCTTTGAGGCTTGTATAAATCCCACTTCGGGGTCCTCGCAAACCAGGCAAAAACAATGGCTTTCTTTGTTTTCCTGGACCTTGGTTGCCCAAAGGACACAGCAAGATAAGGTTAACCTTTTGAGGCCCCATGACTAAAAATGGACAAAGGGGGAAGCTAAAAGGTCAAAAGGTTGATTCGCTTTGGGCGAGTGAGGTTTTGGTGGATTCCGAAAACCCTGGCAAAGGCCTTAAATTGGCATGGCTGTGGGTCAAAACCAATGGTACCATTTTGGGGTAGGTAAATTCACCACCCATTTTAGAACCTATTTTAGTGGTTGGATTGGGGTGTTCACTGGGGGTTAGCCGATCCATGGCCATTTCAAGACACATCCCACGCGGCCGAGGCCCGCGAAGGCCTTGTGTCGCCTGACTCTGTCACGAACCTGCGACTGCAACCACGACTGGGTCGCGCCAAAATCGAACCTGGGAAAGGAAACCTGAAACATGTAAAGAGTGAAGAGGGCGGCCACTTGTATTCCTGGAGGGCACTGGCCCCCATCAGACCTTTGTGTAGCCAGCTATAGACTTGCCCTTGGAAAAATATACAATGTTTAGCGGGCAACCCATGCTCAAGCAATTCATTCAGGCTTCAATTGATCCACAGAAGACAGGCGCTCATGTTCGCCTCTGGACAAGGCTTCGCAGGAAGATGCAACGTGTGAAACGGGCCCCAGCCAGCCTGGGGCCTGACACAACCAATCGTTTATAATGAACAACAATGTACAGGGGTAACACCAAATTCTGGTATCCTACTTTGTCTTGTCCTGTATCTTAGTTACTGTTGTTCCCAAGCAACATCAATCAAGCAACTGTGCCCCGTTTTGGGGGGTTGGTTGAACACTAGTGTTGGAGATAAATAATGATAAGAATTCCAATGAAAGCAACATTACCCAAGAGTGGACTGATCATGGCTATGAGTTTGTCCAAATACCCGCGAACCCATATGTCCTTTTTGAATGACAACCATTGTTGAATTTAGAGACGCTCCCAAATTATTTGGGACGATTTCTCAAAGGAAAACCTTGTGTAGTTGACGGTTTCCCGGTTTGACAAACGACACCAAGATCAAAATCCTGGATTTGCCTTTTTTGAGGTTGAGCGCCAAAAATGACCAATTGTGCTTGGCTGATGTTTCCACAATTCACCCAACAGGGGACCCTGATACCGTACGCGAGGCGTGAGCGATCGCGGCCTTTTCCTGGCACATGTTGAAGTCCTGGGCTGGGGGCCCTACGGCCCAACCCCTTGCACCAACCCCGCGTCCTGGTTTCCTAATGAGGCGGCGATGAGGCCTTGTTCGGGTCACTGGATTTCCCCAAATCAAAAGTTGATAAATTTACTGGTTGTGTCCATTGAAACGATCGCCGCTTTTGGAGGCCACAAGGAAAATGGGAGAACCCTGTCAAACTTAGTGGAAAATCCAGAGTACTTTGATGAGTGATTTTGTCCCCGTCACCTTTGCAGTGATGGATTCGACCTTGAGGGTGCTAACGATCATTGCACGTAGAAACTAACCGGCGGCACTTTGGCCGTTGACTAAAACAACAGGCAAACGAATACAACATCACCTGAAGCAAATGGGAAGATTGAAGAAAAAATGAAACTAGCAATAAATGAAACCATAAGTAAAAGTTAGGTCACGAATTTCATGAATGTAGGTACATGGCGACACTTTTCTCGACCAAACCTCGCATCACTCCGGCTCCTTCATAAAGTAGGCTCGCCAGGGGCATTGACCTGCCACCCAGCGTTCCAAGGTACGTGCAACTTGACCCTCACGGGTGGGTCGGTGATTCAACCACGTGTTGAAATATGAGCTGAGCACGATTCGGGGCTCCAGAAAACTCCCTCACGGGTTCCTTTTGCGAAAATACCAAAGAACTATGTGGGCATAGACCAGGCATCCAGACTTGGTTGCTGTTGACCCCTCTGCAAAAGGTTGGACTTTTTGTGGGTCCAATGGAAAACCCACTGTTTCCCAAAAAGTTGAAGTCCAAAGATCCAACTCAGTAGCCATTAAGAGATCATGTCCTTGTTAGACCTTCACTTGGCTTCCTGATGGACAACTGTGATCTCCCGAACCACTTCTGCTCCTGCGCAAATCGGGATCGGGGCTCGCAAAAGCATCTGAGCGCGGATGGCCAGAGGCGAAGCACCCATCTCCGAAAATGGCGTCTGGGCTTTTTTGTGGTCTAACCGCATTGATTGACCTGCTGAGCCGTGAGCATGCAAGCCATTCCAATTTGAACATATCGATTCCTTCTGGCTCTGAACAGAAAGGATCTCCAGAGTGTGCGGATCTTCGCGCGTCTCAAGCAGTGAACTGCCCAAGAGTCCCCGTGCTTCACGGGTCAAAAGGCAAAGTCTTAGGGTCTCTCAGGTCCGGTGCTCTCCAAAACCAGGCTTAAATGGTGCAGGACACCCTTGCCATTCAGACCGAGGACTCTATTTTGAGAAGCACTCCGACTTTGAAGACTTTAGGATACACAAAGTTGGGGTAAAGGGAAACCGCCCAAGAACAGGCCAAAATAAAGCAACCCACTGGAGAAGAAACGAAAGTTGGGAGGCAAACCTCCGCTTGCCGTCCAAAAGGAAGTTTGAAATCGGGACTCGGACAACAATCACTCCACTGGGTAAGGTTGGCCCAAACAAATCCTCAACTTGTTTGGTCCAAGAACGACCCTGCAGCACCTTAGAATCCCAGTAAATACCAACAAACAATGGTTTCAATCATGGTTCAAGTGGTGCGGATTTCGCAAACCATATACAGTAATTCCAAGAACCACCCGCCCCCGGCCTTGTCGCCGGCTCCTGACAAGAGAGAGGCCGCCGCAAAGCGAGACCCATGGAGTCAACTCCCTGCAAAAAGCGAAGTTGGTTTACTCGCAAAGGTAAGCGTGCGGGAAACCCAAAGCGCGAAAAAAAACACTCATGTTTGTGACGTCTGATGAAATCAACAGCCATGTGACTTGCAAGTGCCACCCCAAAATCGCATGGCCCTTTTCTGGGTCCAAGTGCCAAAGGATTGTTTGGGGGTCAAAAGTTGGGGGCCTGGCTGGGCCCCGAACCCCCACGCAGCACATAGGGCCAGTAGAGTGGGGTGGGCGCCCGCTCAAACCATGCGTCACGCTCGCCCTGTGGAAGTGCCTAGCCCTTTACATTGTTGTCTTTTCGAAGCACTCGTTTCGGGGGGTGGGGGGTGGGCGGCTCAGGTAGCCTGAAAAGTCCTAATATGCAAAAGATCGAAATCGGCCGGCCGATGCCCCATTTTTTTTGTAACCAGTAGTCATCCGCGTATCCGTGGTTGTCCCAGTAGATCTTGGCAAGTCCCTGAAGCTCAAATAGGTTCCCTGCCAATAGAGGCTTGCCAATCAGTTTCACAATGGTCCCTTTGCCGCCTTGGGGCCAGCCTAGCGGAGCATACTCCAAGCTAGATCTGCAGTTCCAAGTGTTGGGTACAATATAATCTTCCCATGAGGTAATCTCAAACGGATCACCCTGACCCCTGGCAACACGGGGCTCCTTAAAGTGAGGCCGACGACGACGACGACGACGACGACGACGACGACGAAGGCCGTGATGAATGTGACCTGAGCCGTTGCGCCAGCCATGACCAAAACTCCTGCGGGTCATGGTCGCAACTTGTTCCCAAACTACATGTTCCTGTAAGCCGTGCTCTTCCTAGGAAATGTGGTGTGTGCCTTGCCACCAACTACATGGTGATTTCAGGTTCCAAAACATGCAGGCTCCCATACCTTCTTTTGTGTTGCAAAGGGCTCAGGTGAACTCGCAGCTTTCTTCGAACTCCAAGGCAAACAGCTGCTTGTCAGGTGAGCCAGCCGGACCAAGTTGGTCAAGTAAGAATCGGCTGGCAGATCGTGCTTGTGTCAGATAAAATTGGCCGAAAAGTGTCCTTCCACAACATTGAACAGTGTTTCATCATGGTGTGACGCCATCCACACTGAAGGCCAAACTCCGACAGCAAGCGCTCGCCATCGATTTCCACTTACAGTTGCCCGCACAAGTGATGCCCTTGAAAACCACCCCCAAAACCCATCATTCAGAGGGCGCAAGCCGCTGAAGTGGGCGAGACTTCAAGTTTTCAGCGGTGACATCCCTCAGTCAGCTCCCTTTGAAACCTTGGGTCACCTGGCCCACACAGAAGGGGACACAGAAGACAAGATGTTCAGATGTTGTCCCAGAGTTGGTCTACTCTAAAGCATCAAATAGCTAGACCCCAGTGGTGTCACTTCCTCAGTCGGTTTCTGATCATGGTGCATGTGGACAAGGGTAAGATGCAAGCGATCGGCTCTTCCCACAGGCCAGGCCCGCCATTCTACAACATCATACACTCCTGGTGCCATTCCTTTTCCATCCTGTTCAGTGATCCTTCTCAGAAAATTGGCGAACCGGGCTCTCTGCTGGTGGTGGATTCGGAAGTCAATGGGTGAGGACGTGGTCTTCTTGGAAAAAAAAAGTGCGCCAAATTCGCGGCTTTTGGTGGGTGTCTGAATCCTCTATCTGTTTCCAAATGGAAAGTTGCCCCGCACCGCCAAACCGAACCATGGGGAAAGGTGATCCAACTCCCGCTAGTTGGGGTCCCCCAGCACGCCTACTCCCAAGCGGAATCACTGTAGCCAGCCACTTTCCTGAAGAAACCTCTGGGCAAACCACTATTATAACCCTCAACTTAGAATCTGTATGTACATCTAGATTAGGATTTCCCAAGGAAAGAGCCTTAAACAAATCCCTCTAGAATTCTGAGCCACCACAAAAAGGGGGGAAGCCTGTATCCCCTATCCTTGAAGGACAGTTTTTACCAAAGTTCCGGTCAAAGTGCCTCAGCAACAGGGTCGCAGGGACCCGGCCCCAGAGTAATTACCAGAATCGTCCCAGGAGCCCTGCGGATCCATGGGTACGATCCATGGGTACGATCCATGCACCCCAAAAGATTCCTGGAAAGTCTGCCCACATTTGTCTTGGTGCCGGGTGCTCTTTAACGGGCAAAAAGCCCTCGAGCAAGATGTTTACCCTTCTTTTCAGCTTCCCTCCAACTGCTGGTTTGGATTGGCAGTTTGGTGGTTAGGGGCTGGTTTCCCATTTACCCTCTACCTGATCTGTGCCTCTCTGGTCCCCGGAATCCCAATCTGGAAATCTGGTGGCCCGAAGGCCGTTCGAACCCCATTCTCGCGGGGAGAAACAAATTGAACGACGGGGAAAAGACATGCGTCTGTTTCTAAAATAAGGGAAACAGAATGGCAACAGCTTCCTGTTGGTTTACCTTTAATACCAACTCCAAAAGGGTACCCTTCGCTCAAGAAATCCGGGCACACCCAACCATTTCGGGGTCCCCGCGAGCGCGAGCGGGAGTGGGAGGAGCGGAGGGCAGGGTGACGAGCCTCGGAGATTGGACTTTCTCGGCTCCGGAAAGCGCCGTCACATCTTCGACGGTTGCTACCGTCGACTCTGGGTTTTGAACAATTGGACTTTGAGTCATTGGCTCATTGAAAAACCATTGGCTTTTGAACCAACCAAAGTAGCACGACTTTGACTTTGAGCCATCATTGGACTTTGTGTTAAACCATTGGACTTTTGTTCCCAACAGCTGGAAAGTTATGGAGTCGGTTTTTGAGAAACCATTGGGCTTTTTCTGCAACAGCTGGAAAGCTATGGATTTGGTCTCTGCCCAATAGGCCAATAGGGAGGGTTCCGGAAGGTTCCAGTGGGTTCCGGTCTACATAAAAACCATTAGGTTCTTGTACGCATAAAACAAAATAAAACAAATACCCAATTGTGACCCTCCACCAACCCTTAACCAACCTGCCCCTCTTCTGGGATGACCGTGCATCTACTTTGACCAACCCAGCACCAACCACTCCACAGGGGGGACAATGACCATGCCCCCCGGAAAAAGAACACCCCAGAAAGCCCCTTGGATTCGGGCGCCCCTGTTGGGCGGCCCTTGGCAAGCGTGAACCTGCCCGGCTCAAACCGCTTCCCGAAGCAAACAAGTCCCCTTTTTGGGCTCCATGTACAAAACGAAGGGGGGAGGTTTAAGAACCTGGCCCCAGCTGAAAGTTGGCAGTTTTCCTTTGGGAGAACTGCACCACGGGTTGAATGGCGCTAGCTTTCACCCTGCTTGTTTTTCAAGTTTCTCGAAACTCTATCAAAAACCTGGGACCCCACAAAATGTAGCCCCTCATATGGTAGCGGATCCAGTTTGTTGCCAAGACAACCAGGACCTGTTTCTCTGGGTTTTCACGTGTCAGTGTCCCTGGCTACTGGCAGAACCTTGGCTGGGTCCATTTTCAATGATTTATCCTCTGTTATAGTCTGAAAAGGATTCCTCTCACTAGAAGGCAGGAACATGGAACGCATCAAAAGGTCCCTTGAGCCTCCGGGCAGGCTACATGTTTCATGGGACAAGACAACCAGTTTTCTTTTGGCTCCTTGTAACCGCCAAGAAGGGCGCCCTCAAAAAACGACACCTGAAGATAAGGGGGGTCTGTGTGATAGGGGGTCTACTCTGACAAAGTCCCCGGATGAGTTCAGGCCGCAACCATGGTTCCGACGGAGGAGGTGAAGGAAACGGCAGCCAAAATCATCGCCATGGTGTCGGGCCTCAGTCGGAAGCGGTTTGTTTCTTGGCTGACCACCCAGTGTGGTCAATAGCCCTGATCAAGCGACCCGAGTGGGTGTTTATTACATTATATTTGCATTGTATCATCATATT